GATTGGCCCTACATCAAAATAAAATAAAAAATAAGGAATTCTTATTTGTGAGCATTCAAACAGCTAAATAAAATAAAATAAGAAACATATATGAAGTTTCAATATCTAAAGTTGTTCTTGAGTTATCGCATGTTATGTGTTAATAAGTTCAGTTTTTAAATTACCGCAATTGCTGACGTTTTTTTCGTTATAAAAAATGGACACCCTAACGATATCTTTATAATTCCATTTCAGATGCTCAGAAACATATCTAATGATGTTATCTAGTTATCTTTTCGAAAAAAAGTTTTATATCTTTTAAAAATAAGCGGTTTGCAATCCTGATTTTACTTTACTTGATAGGGAAAGGCGTACCGGAGAAATGTGGCAACGCCGCAACAGCACACCGTCGCATTTCTCTCACTCCGACTTAATAAGATCCGCCCTATGCGATTTACTTCCACACATGTAAATACCGACCCAAAAGTAAGAGTTGCAAGCATGGTATATGCTGTTCCATAGAACAAACTTTCTTATGTTACTTTATTTCGCTGTATGAACCCACCCTAAATTATAATACATATTTATTATAAAAATTATCTAATAAAATATAAATTAAATAACCGACACAATACCTCGCCATAATTAATAATAAATAATAAAAATATCTTATTTATATCTAAAAAAAAATAAGTTATTATTCAGAAATACACCATAGCTGTGCAACACTGGTTTACAATCTCTCGTATAATTAATTCATCCGACGCATTTTCACAACAAAACGAAGTAAATCAATTGACACTATTAACAGTCAAAAGTGAAGTAAATCGACTTCATTCGCACAGAAAAATATATAAATAAACGAGACAACAAAATAATCTTAGGCTAAGCACATACTGGAACGGAGAGCATAGCAGCAATGAAAACGGAGAAAGTGTAGATTAGAGGCGCGTAGTTCGTGTACGAACTAGTTCTAGCGAACTATTCCGACCCCGGAATGAATAGAACTAGTTGGCGCTTTCTCAAAGAACTAGTTTCTCAGGACCTATTTAGGGATTCAGACTGTGACCGATATATAATAATATGCGACGGATCGGCCAGCGCGATCGTAGCCTGATGCTAGGCGGGAGTGGAGAGTACCAGCCGTATGTTACCTGTCCCGGACCGAAAGGACTGAGAGGAACTAATTAAAAGACTAGTTCACGGGAATCTATTCAGTCGGCAGATCCGAGATATAATACAAGGCGACGACGATGGATTCGGCCTTGTCTATTGCCACAGCCGACGTAATTACCACAGAAAATTGTCGTGGATACTGTTTTTGATTGTTAGTTTGGTCTTTGAATATTTTACGAGAATGTTTCACTTTAAATCCCTAAAATTAAGAAATATCTTATAAAACGACGTAGATATTCTGAATTGTTAGACAAAAATAAAAAGCTTGAAGTGAGGAAAAATGCAATGCCTATTATTTGTTCCAATTGATTTGTGATATAGTTTTTTAAACTCTGATTTGAGTTTTTTTTTATTTTTTTTATCTGGATAAAACTTACCTATACGTTTTTTACATACGCAATTACACATTTCATTATATTTCGTACATTATAAAAATTATACAGATCATACGGTGATTAGTTCTGACTGACAACGAAACCCATTAGCAAGCAACGGGGATGTCAGTGTTAGTTGGGAACTATAGTGAACTAAAGACCTAGGTCAAGGAACTATTCCTCTGGAGGAACTAGAACTAAGGAACTAGTTCCTCCCAAGGAACTAGCATTCCCATCTCTAGTATAGATGCCAGACTCAAATTTTAAATTTTATTTTGGTATCAACTTATTTCTTTGTAAAATAAAATAAACTACTTTGAAATTAAAATGACAGACACATCTATCGCTGTCAAGGATTTGGTCGTTGGGCAGACTATACCATGACAAATGTTTAAACTTTATAACTATCAATAATTAGAGTTTACTTGCTAAATTTCTGAAATTGTCATGGTAACGAAATTTTTGAAATTTAACTATAATAATAAAATTATTAATTAAAATAATATACATTAGGTTGAATTTAAAATAACAAAGATTTCAGCAATTTTATAACAAACGGAATAAATAATTTTTTGGCTTCCCCTGTGTATTATCCAATGAGTTGTTAGACATAGCGAATATATAGACTTTCGTTAACTTATAACCCAAATTGCACCTTTTAAAATGTTCAATTCATGATTTTACCAATGCTTAAAATCATGTTGTCAATTTTACAATATGTTTTATTTATTATCTCAAAAAATGTTAGAGATAGTAGGTATAAGTTAGTATAATAAAAACTTATGAGATATGAGAGTAGTTTCCAAAAATATAATATACCGGGTGTTCCATTTGAAATAAGAAAAATGTTACCACTTTTCAAATGATTCGGCAACATTGTAACGCTAATTATATATTTTAGACAGATGGAGCAAGTGCCTTTACGTAAAAATCCAAATTTTCCAAAAAATTCTATCACCGGTTCTCCATAAACATCTAACGTGCCATGGTGATGAACCCTATAGTTACCGGGTGCGTCTCAAAAGTGGCTCACCCCCTATAACTTTTTTATATTTTCATATAAAACAACGAGATTTGGTATGTTAGTATATGACATAAATTAGGATTGATTGACGTATTCAATTATTTTTGGTCACTTCCTGTTTCACCGGAAATGACTACAAATTTTGATTTTTAAACGACACCGTCAACCGTCAAACATTTTTTGACAACAAACAATTGACCTATCATAGACCAATAACAGACAACGTCGGAAATCGTTTACCAGTAATACGAAAAATTATATGCTCTGTGGCCGACGACGGATGCTCCTACGTATGCCGGCCGATTGCAAATTTTACATGGCGTACGTTGGAATTATATACGTCATAATACGATTGCCGGACGTCCGGTTTAATGACTTCGGTCGTGTGAGATGACTAATGTTGGAGACCCGGTCGGAATTGGTATATTGGTAGGTCATATTAAGTCGGACACAGAAATCCGCCATTCTTAACAATTGTCCGATTGTCAGCCATTCTTAACAATTGTCCGATTGTCAGCCATTTTAAAATCGTTTTTTGTTTTTAAAATTTATATTCACATTTCGATTTCTAGTAGAATAATATTGATAAGGTTGAGTTTGGGGGAACCACAGTACAGTTTTATGATTAAACCAGCTAGAAAATAAAAAAAAATATTTTGCGAGTTACTTTTTATAGATATTTTTATTTCATAAATCTACCTAATTTTGAAGGCGCTCGTTGTTTTCCGGAGTATTTTAATCAGATATATAAAAAAGTGACTTCCGTTGACAAAACTGATGTCTGAATTAATGATTCATAATTATTATATGAAATTAGGTAGGCACTTATAGTTATATTCGAGGGGTGATTATGAATCCATTTGTAATTAGGTAGTTATAAAATATTTATCTAGCAAGTATGTATTCTTGGTAGCGAATTTGAAACCAAACGTAACGTAAGTGCTTGGCGACGAATTTTAAGTAACTGAAATCCAAAGATGCGACGTGACAACGAAATATGACGTTGGTAATTGGTAGAATTACATTCCCTATTAGGTCAGATACCAACGTCGAGGCGACCCGAATCTGTATTTCCCATTTAGGTGCAAATAAGGGTCGTCAGGCGGTCGAACCGAGGTTGGTACCCGACGCGACGTCGGGTTTATTGAACGCGACGTATACCCGACGTTAGATAACGTCCAAAGGCTACTTGGGCGATTTTTTTCAAAAGTTGACATATGATATGTCATTCTATTCAGAGTGTCATTTTCTATCGAATAAAGTAAGAATATACCGAGGGTGCTATTTAAAAATCAAAAGTTGTAGTCATTTCCGGTGAAACAGGAAGTGACCAAAAACAATCGAATACGTCAATCAATCTTTAATTATCAAAATTCATTTTGTTTTTATAATACAGATAAGTTCGAGATAAAAAAAGTTATTGTTGAAATAAAAAATAAGAAATCCAGTGGAGATGATGACATCTCTGCTGAGGTACTGTTAAAGCTACCAGATAAAGCCTTAGAAGCCTTATCCAACTGCATAAATCAGTCCTGGCAGCAGGGGGTTTTTTCCTTCCTGCCTAAAATCTTCAACGGTGGTACCTCTCTTCAAGGGAGGTGATATTAAGGAGCCTTCGAACTTTCGCCCGATTTCTTTACTTCCCACTCTGTCCAAGGTCATTGAAAAGTTAGTAAAAAATAGGATGTGTAACTATCTACAATCCCTTAACATTATTACTGACAAGCAGTTTGGATTCCGGGAGGCCAAGAGCACACACGATGCTGTCTGCAGTTTCCTTGAGGAAGTCTATGTTGGGCTGATTCAGGGGGGAGTAATGGCTGCTGTGTTCTGTGATCTATGCAAGGCTTTTGATTGCGTGGATCACGAAATTCTTTTACTGAAGCTCGAGAAGTATGGTTTCCGTGGACGTGCTCTTGCTTGGTTTAGATCATATCTTGAGGGTAGATATCAGTGTGTCATGTGCTCGGGAAAAAAATCCTCGCCGTTAAGTGTCTGTTGCGGTGTACCACAGGGCTCTGTTTTGGGGCCTATTTTATTCTTATTGTATATTAACGATTTGACAGAATTGCACATCTCTGGACATTTCACACTCTTTGCAGATGACACTTCAATACTATGGCAGGCCAAGGACATTGAGCATCTTAAGGGAATCATAAGCAAGGACTTATCCTTCATTAAAGAGTGGTTTAACTCAAATCACCTTTGTTTAAATTTATCCAAGACGCATGTTGTTGGGCTTAGGTGTGACATCGCAAATCTACATTTCGAGGGGGGTTTGCTTGCAGGAATTCCTGCGACTAGATTCCTAGGAATTATTATTGATAGAAATCTGCGATTTGAAGACCATATTCTGGCCTTAAGTGGCAAGTTGTCTTCTGGACGCTTTGCTGTTAGGGCAATTAGGGAAGAACTAGGTTCACAAGTGGCAAGGACGGTCTATTTTAGTTTGTTTGAGTCTCATCTACGGTATGGAATACCATTCTAGGGTGTGGCTAATCAGGGTCTACTAAACATTCTTTTTATTTTACAAAAAAAAAGGCCGTACGATTTATTGTAAATGTACCACTTAACGAATCCTGTAAACAACACTTCAAAGCTCAAAAAATTCTTACACTACCATGTCTTTTTATTCTGAAAACATCATTCCTTATTTTTACAAATCGTATCAGACTACAGGGTCCTATACCCAATATTGTTACCCGCCAAACCCTGAATCTGCCCTTACCACTTCCAAATAGCACATTGGTCAAAAGATCTATAATATATGAGGGCCGAAAGATCTTTAATCATCTGCCGGTTGCTTTAAGATTGGTTAATTGCATAAAAACCTTCCAGAGACTACTGAAAAGGGAACTTTTAAATAGGGCATTTTACAGCGTTGACGAATTCTACCGGGGCTCCCTTGATATTAGTGTTTAGAGTCTAGAATTGCTTGTTAGTCTGACTTGTTCTTTTTAGCGTTATTTTTAATTTTCTCTTTATTCTGTATATTGTATATGTTATTTTACTTAATTGTTTACACCTATTTTTCTAAATACTGTTTGTTATTTAAATGGATGTATTTCTATCTTATATTTACACAATTTTTTTTTTATTTTAGGTTAAGATTTAGGAATATTTATGCTTTGTTAACAAAAATTTGTATATTTTTTAAACAATAAAGTACTTTTGAAATTGAAAAATTGAAATTGAAATCCTAATTTATGTCATATACTAGCATACCAAATTTTGTTTTTTTTCTATCTGAAAAATAAAAAAGTTATAGGGGTGAGCACCCGGTATAATATATTCCATTTAAATGTAATATGACAATTGAAATATTTAGTATGCGAACAATCACGAGGTAGCGCTTCATTTACTTTCATTTCTTAACACGACAAATGGAGTTCTAAAGGGAGATGTTTTGTGCTTTTCTTGTAAGCAAGTAAAATTGCCAACTGTATGACCCTCCTTACAATTCCGTCTCTCCGTTTTCACCGCTACTCCAGTACCTGTTCAACCTCCAACCCACAAATAATCTCTCCCTAACGCTAAACGTGACTTAGTCTTCGTCTTCGGGCAGGTCCTCGTCCGTCGTGTACTCGGACTCCTGGTCCGCCTTCTCCAAGAGATTCTCCTGCTCGTCGTCCTCGAAGTCCCACTGCGGGTGCTCGGTGGTTTCGGCCGGGGCCTGCTTCACGTCCAGCTTCAGGTCCTTCTGCTGGTTGAAGCCGATGTACGAGTCCGACCTAAGGCACACTGTCACCGTGAACAGTCCCGACCAAGACGGTGCCGTAAACTGAAAGGAACGGAGGAAATATTATTTCATTGAAAATTCATTAAATTAGGAAATTTGTTGTCCACTTGGCAACACCGCCTTTGGGATAATGGTGTTGGAAAGACTCTACCCACTGAATAAAAAGACTAAGAAGGGACATTTGACAGAAGGGACAAAGGACAGAAAAGATCAAAAGACAAGTATCCAAAGACACCAAGTCCTAGGGTCTGATAATATAAATCAAAACACAGATGCAAAAAAAAACGCTGCGGAGAAATTTTTGGTCAAATTTAAAGTATTATATTTTTGTTATTTTTAGCCCTATTTTCATGAATTTTTTAGAAAGCAGTATATAATGGGCTTGTTTCACAATTTTTTTTTATTTTATCAATCGAAAGTACAACTAAAAAATAACAGATCTACTAAAAATTAGAATTTTATTCGTACGTTTAGTACCTCAAAAACACGTACAAACATCTATTGCGCGAGAAAGGGGTGTGGCCAGCCGCTACGTCATAGCACCACAGGTCGGCTGGCGACCGCGCTCGATACAATGCACAGGTCTGCTTTGCCCGATTACAGAAAGTGTGTTTTAAATTTTTAGTACAACGTAGTGTAGTACTAGTCTTTCTTTTATTCAATATTAGTATAAAACAGACAAGGAAATGTTGTGTAGTGCCAGAATGCACAAATACGCATAAAAATTCCCCAGAAAAACTATTTATTTCTTTACCGTCCGACATAAAGTTAAGAAGAGCATGGCAACATGCAATGCGAAGACATGATTTTGTCTGTGACAGAGGCACCAGATTTTGTTGTGAAGATCACTTTAATGTAAGTTAATAGTTACAAGTAGTGTTTCCTATTTTTTTTAATAAATAAAACTAAAATCAGGTGTTATTCCTCACATTTTTGAGTGCCAAAAAAACGATCTTCTGCTTCAAATACAAGAAAACAAGCAGCCATTATTAAGGAAATATTGAAAGACGACGCAAGGCAGGCGGCAAATGAAAATTTTCGTTTCAGGGCCAATACAGTAGACAAGGATTTTAAAATGCATGATCAAGAGGAGCGCATTTCAAACCATCAAATTTATGCAACCACATAAGAAATGCTACCGCGTGCTTGCAACCACGTTCGGATGCGGCACAGTCATTACACTTTGCTTCTATCACACTTTTTTCACTAGTATTTATAATAATGCATTATACATTATAATTTTTTGCATTAATTTTGTGCTCCGGTGTAATTTTTGCCACTACTTGTCATAGTGATTGCTGTTGTTTTAACTGCACATATTATCCAATGGCATTATTACCATAATTTTGTCTGCCGGATCTGTAAGAAAAAAGTACATAGCTTACGTATCAGTTTTTACCTTAAAGTAGAAATATTTTTCTATATATTTATCGTAGTACGTCTTTTCGCGGACCAACCTCGAACTAGTCCTAGTCAATCACATATCTTAAAATCCATTCAGTATTTGTCAGCTGTATATGAAACCACTGATTTTTTCTGGTTCGTGAATTTTTCGCGAAAATATTTATTAATAATTGATCAATAATTAATTTATTTTTGTTTATTTTTTAATTAAAATTTTTAAAATTTAAAAAATATCAAAAATAATTAAAAATAGTTTTCTACAAGCGTGTTAAAATATTTTTCGCCACACTCTGATATATAATAATATTACTTTAAGGGTGCTTTAAAATTTACTTTAGTCATTAAAGGAAACAAAAAAATATATATTTGAGGAAAGTCTCTTATTTACTTGTACAATTATTATGTATTAATTCAATATTAATTATATTCATATTCTAACTTATTTATATTATTAATATAAACTATAAACAATTGTTAATTCAATAATTAGCCGAAAAGCCTCAAAATGCTAATTAATTGTGTTAATGTTACAAATAGCAGAAGATTGCATAGGTTAGTTAAGAAAATGCATAGGTTGCCTTCTTTCATATAGGGTAAATAACCCTTTGATTTTTTTACCCTAGCGAGCCGCCACTGCTTTCCGATACAGATACGTATTTAAGCAATAGAAAATATCTTAGAAGGAAAATATAATGTAACTTTATTTCCTTCATTTCTGAACTAATAAACTCCTTATTTTTATTAAAATAATCCATTATCATAAAAATGTCCACTTCTGGGAGATTGCCCGAATCAGCTTTATTGAACCCTTCTCCTACCGAATGCATCTTGTGAAAATAAACCAACGAAATAGTCTAAATAACGATAAAATGACAAATCACATTAATTCAAACGAGTGTTTCCGTTACGAACTGATTGACGGCAAGTCGGGTGTAGTGGAACTACGTCACGAGGGGGCGTGGCCTCGTCTCGCCGTTACAAACTTTAAGCTCTCATATCTCGAAAACGACAAAAGATTTCGTTCTGAAATTTTAATCGTGCACTTATTATAATAAGTAGTATCCAAAAACGTTTAAAAAACATACAAATAGGATATGATGGAACAAGCCTATTATATCAACTTTAATTCGTAAACTCAGCTTTTTATAAACTTTAGAATTTGGAATATTATACAAGATTAACCGAGGAGTTCTTTACCCTAATTTTAAAACACCCTGTGCAATAATTTCGTCCGTAAATTTTCCTAAAATATAATATTACGGTAAGAACCATGACTCCTCAGCATTTTGTTTGTTGACTCACGTCAATACATGCTTTGGTTAATTTTTAAGAGCGAAATGAACTAATAATGATCATTTTACATTTTTTTTCAGTTATCAATAGGCACTTTTTGATGTAATTTTTTAATACGACGAAATTTTTTTGTTCACTATTGTCGTGACGTCATATTACACTGCATTGGATACTCTATACTAAATTTAAAAAAAACGTTAAAGACTAACGATACAGTCCATTTTTTTAAAGACCAAGCGAAGTTCGTTTAATGAAGCTGGTACTGCTTCGCGATCTCAAACCCTCCTGCCAAGCATTTGCCAAATGTCAAACATGATGGGCAGCTCATAGTAGGATATAGTTCACAATAATCACCAAAGCCGCCTTGTTACATTGAAAAATAACTTCAAAAAGAAATGATAATTGAACAAATTGCAAATTGTTGGTGGCAAGTTCATTTTGCTCTTAAAAATTAACCAAGGCATGTATTGACATGATCCAAAAAACAAAATGTTTGGGAGACATGGTTCTCACCGTAAAATTATATTTTAGGAAAATTTACGCACGAAATAATATAATATACAGGGTGGTCCGAACTGTATTCCGGAAACTTCGGCAGCGTATTCTGCAGATAAAAATAAGTAAAAAAGTTCGAATAAATGTATGTCCGAAAATGCTTAGTTTAGGATATACAGGGTGTAGAACTTTCATTTTTATTTCGATTTTTTCCAAATAATTTCTGCAGTAACATCAATATTTGGATGAAAATTGGTGTCTGGGAGTTTTTTGACATGAGAAATTTGATTTTGATGTCAATATGACTCCTACTAGTAGAGGGCGCCACCTACATATATTTTAACTGGTTTGAAGAGTAATAACTTTTTATCCGCACCTGTATAAAACTACTGAGTAAAAAAAAATCATTTACGACTTTTTTACGTAAAAAATGTCTCTTGGTAAAAATCGCTACGAGTATTGGTTTTCGAGATATTTGGAATCGAAATTATCAATACATAAATTAAACATGTTGTCAAACATGTTATCATTGACATAAATTAAACATGTTGACTATAAATAGTTATTAGACTGAGATCATAAATTTGAAAGTTTTTTTTGTCAGAAGTTCAACAGAAACTGTTTTATCATCATTTTTTGCACGAAAAATTATGATTTAATTTAAAAAAATAAAAATTTCCCAAATTTATTATTTCACTGAAATAACTATCTACTCAACGTGTTTATTTTTCGTCAATAATGACATGTATTGCCTATTTCCATTCTAAATATTTTGAAAACGGTTGCTCGTAGCAATTTTTACAAAGAGATATTTTTTACTTAGAAAATCACAGAAACGTATATTTTTTCACTCGGTAATTTTATACAGGTACGGACAAAAAGTTATTACGCTTCAAAATACTTAAAACACAGGTAGGTGGCGCCCTCTACCAGTAGGAGTCATATTAACATCAAAATCAAATTTAACATGTTAAAAATCCTAGACACCAAATTTCATCCAAATATTGACGTTACTACAGAAATTATTTGGAAAAAATCGAAATAAAAATGAAACTTCTACATCCTGTATCTCTGAAACTAAGCATTTTAGGACATACATTTATACAAACTTTTTTACTTATTTTTATCTGCAGAATATGCTGCCGCAGTTTCCGGAATACAGTTCGGACCACCCTGTATAAAATATTAAATAATATATAAAAACAACCCCTCGATCAACCCTATAATATATGACAAATACTAAAGTTTATAAAAAACTGAGTTTACGAATTAAAGTTGGTATAATTATATACAGCTTGCTAAAAAATTCATGAAAATAAGGCTAAAAATAACAAAACTATAACACTTTAATTTAATGAATTATTAATTAAAATTTGACAAAAAATTTCTCTGTTGCGTTTTTTTGCATCTGAGTGTATTAAAAGATTAATCAATATTTCTAAGACTTACCTTAAGATGAACTGATTCTCTGTCAACTAAACTAGTGACGTAGTAAGGAGCTGTGAGCAACGTTTTCGATTTTCTATCAACAATATAAACCCACCAGTATTCTTGTTTCTCGTGAGGGAAATAAGGACAGTGGACTGGATGTGATACTTTTGATTTCCCTTCTAACGATTTTTCTCTTTCGTGAAGTTTGCGGAATCTTTCCCATTCCTACATTTCAAAAATTATTAATTAGAACATGTGAGCATCATAAAGAATAAAATTTAGATCGAAGAAATTTTATATTACGACAGAAAATTATACTCAACTCAATCTACCTCAATTTAATGTATTGAACAGTTTTATTTTTAACTCTGCAGGCATATTTTGCTAAATTTATGAAGTGAAACTTCTTTGCGCTCTTTGAGGGTGAAAATTTAAGGCCGTGACACTCGACCTTGAATGACGGTCTGAGACGGCCGAGACGCACGAGAGGAAAAGTAATAACGGCAGTGTTGACACAGCTAGATCTACCCCTTTGTAAAGCAATTTAACCCCGCTATCTCGTGATAATCTACCCCGGTGAAGATGGCAACACTGGGTAACGAACGATCTGTGCCATACGCGGCTAAGAAAATCACTATAATAAACTTGATATTGTACCAACCATAGACTTAAAATAAAATATAGACTGAGCATCTCATTCATAAATAGCTGGAACATGCGGTCAGACAATGTCTTGTTATTGTTTTAGGTTATAACGAGTGCGACACGAGCGATAGATAGGTTGTCTCTGTCGTAACGGTCGTTCCCTGACGGCTCTGACGAGAAACGCAACACTGTCTTTCGTTTCTCAAGTACACGTGAACTCTCCGCATCATAGCCGGGTATTTTTTTTTATTTTAATGAAGCTATAATTAAATTAAAAATATATCGTATTTAAACTTTTTTATATTTTATTAAGATTTAGAAGAGGTTTTTTTAAATAAAAGTTTAGAAAAAACGTCTTAGAGTCCAAAAAGGATAGAAATAATAAAATACATGTTATAGAAGAAATTTTATAATCGAAATTACGTAAATTTTGAAATTACTAAAAAAAATATTAATTTTAGTCAAACATTTACAACCCCTAATATTAATCAAAACAGGATCCAGTGGCGGATACAGGGGGAGGACCCATGGGGCCCGGGCCCCCCCTAAAGTCTTTGAAATGTGTAAAATATTAGGCTTTTGGGTTAAAAATGGCGCCCTAAAAAGCATATTCTACATTGCTTTTCATTTTGGGCCCCCCCTAAAATAAATTCCTGTGTCCGCCCCTGACAGGATCTATTCTACAGATATAATAGAATCGGCGACAGGGAGAAAAAAAAATGATGATTGTTGTATTTTTTTTTCTGGTTAAGTGATGTCTTATTTATGTAAATTAGACAAAACATAAATCTGTTCCATTAAAGCAAGGAAGGTGATAGGAAGTGGATAAAATGAAAACTACATTTATTTAACTCGGTACTGTCTTTATTATACCGGGTGCGTCCCAAAAGTGGCTCATCCCCATAATTTTAATAGGATAGTATAAAAACGAAACAAAGACTCGTTAAAGGGTTAATTGAAGAACATTCAAAAGAAGAATTGGGTTTTGCAAGTACTATGAGCTGCAGGGTTAGTAAGAGTAAGGATGCTGGCTTTAATTGTTGAAACCTTAACTCCATCGAAAGGCACTGAGTTTAAAAAAATAATAGCTGACCATACACGGAAAGGCCCGGCCTTCGGACTTGGTCTTGAGGCCGGGGCTTTCACCCAAATTACCATAGCGGAAATATATATCCGCGGACTTTGCCTTTCACGCAAACCTATGGTATTTTGGGTTAAAGGCCTGGACCCAAGGCCAAGTCCGAAGGCCGGGCCTTTCCGTGTATGGGCAGCTAATGAATGACAAAAATAGTCAGTTCGAAAATTTTCCTCAAGACAAAAACATCCAAATGATGTTCTAGTTAAATAAAGCATGACGATATGCTAAAGCCTTTTTTACTTTCTGATAATTTATAATAAAACTAAATGATTATTACCAGTTTTAATAAAAGTTTAAAAAATTGTCTTAGATACTTACTATATATGAATTTACAATTACCGAGTGTTAAAATTAAAATTAAAATATCTATATTTTTTAATATTTTCAAAATAAAATAGATTTTTTTAAAATAAAATATACAGGGTGTCACAAGATTACAAAGTAATTAAAAAATAACTGCTAAAAAGTTTTTTGTAAGCATTTCACCTGATATCATAATTTTATGTATTTGGCAATGTTTACAGTACTGTTTTCATGTGTCATGTACGAATAATATCATAGTTTTATTATCTTGTATTTATTTATTTATTAATAAATTAAGTTGTTAATAAATAAATAAATTTAACGAAATGGTTGCCACATATTAGACCATTTGCTACGTTCTTAGATTTTAAGTCCCAAACATCCCTCCTGAGATTTTGTCCCGCTAGAATAACCATCCACCGCACTGTGGAGCACTGGTCCCTGAGTGAGTGAGTGAGTGAGTAAGCATCCACGGCGACTACGATAACGGCGATTTGAGGCGATCGAACAGTCCTTTAGAATATATACAGTCCTTGGGTCTAGGTAAAGTATCTAGCTCATTTGCCAGCTCAGAATTAGAATTTAGAGTTAGTATCTCGCATTTTCATTGGAGAACACTGTCATTTATTTCAAACCAATAATCTCTCGTATAACTTAATAAAATTATTGTATATCACTATAAATAATGAATTGTTTGTAATTGAAAGGTAATTTCTGTATTATTAATCCAGTAAATGATAAAGATAAATAATTGTGATTGATTAAAATTTTATTTTAAGATCAAACTTTTGTTAACAACATTCTAATTTGAATAATGAATTGAATAATGACAAGACAAGCGACATCTGTCTAAAAAAGACAGTGATTTAGAGTGACAATTTGGTTATGTAAAATTTAGAGTGACAATTTTGATTATGCAAAAGAAATACTGGTTGTCTAACGATTGACATTAATTTACAAATAAATCCCCAACATGAATAATAAACAAAACATTTTAAAAAAAATACCACAGACCGCACAAAACAAATTGTTCTTTAATAGCAGTTAGTAGGAGTCAGAGATATAGATGTAGTAGTATTTTGATTTAATGGCCACAGCCGCCAGGCTATCTGGCCCAGTGATAGAATTATTATCGTTTTTAATAAAAATTAAAAAACAATAAAATTATAAAGCTAGAATAGTATACGGTTTTATATTAACTCTATTTTTTTTTAACTTTATGAAAAACATTCATAAACAAATATATATCTATATATCACTTCACATAGTGCACACGCAATTTTTTTTTTGTTAAATGGAGGCAAAGTTGTGCAAATTGATGCTGATCAAAACGCCACCTTAAAAGTTCAGAAATTCCAAACAGTTCCGAAGATTTTCGAAAATTTTCTTCAAACCTGTTAATTTTAAGCTGTTATTTATAAATAACTATAACAGTTTCAACTGTTATCTAAAAATATCAGTTTTACCCACCAGTAGCATAGAAATATGATGTTGCCGGATGACGGTATATTTTTGTACAAACAAACAATATCGCCAGCGGTTCTTTAGCCAGTGAGTTTATTTATAGCAACGATTATTGACCAAAAAAAAACCTGAAATTTTACCTGATCGTCTTCAGCGTCGATGTTTTGCCCGCCGCTTTCATCTTCAGACGACTTATTATCTCTTTCGTTGGTGTCGGCGTCGCTCTCGTCAGCCGACAGATCGGACTCTTCTTCTTCAACCCTGGCTTTCCTTTCTTCTTTGGGTTTTTGCTTCCTCTCCGTAGACACGTTCGGAGAGTCCTCCACCTTCTGCTTGACAGCGTTGGCGGTGGCGGTGGCGGTGACTGGTTTTGGGGTAGGCCTGTTTGGTTTCTTCGTCTTTTTACCACCTGCGGTTAAAACAAAACATAAACACTATTGTTTATATCTGTAAAACTGAGAATATTTCGTTTTATACTGGGTGTTTCTCACAAGTGGCTCACCCATATAACTTTTTTATTTTTTTTTCTGATAAATAAACGAGATTTGGTACGTTAATATATAATATAAATCAGGATTGATTGACGTATTCAATTATTTTTTTTATGACGATGAGCAAACGAGTAAAATTTCCTGTGCGGAAAAATAAACTCGCGTTTCAACAACGTAATAACTGGGCCGGTCAGGCGCTATGTGCGAAAATTGGAACCACAAAAAACAATGCTTTTGATGATAAGTTTATAATCTGTATAATCTGTGGTATAAGAATCTCGATTCGAGACGATCGACTTATTCTAACTTTACCGCTAAAAAACCGCCCTTTGCCAGCTTTTCAAATTTATAATAAATTGCACTAAGGAACATACATATAAATGAACGGACTGTAAGAAGATTAAATGAAACAAATCTTTTGTCAAGACCTGCCTCAGGACTACAACTTACTAGGTCTGTTGACTAGGACCAAAAGCAATGGCATGGTTTTAATGTAAAAATTACGAAAAAACTCTTATTCAAAAGCGAATATCTCCAACAAAAATAAAGCTATTGAGATGAACCAAAAAACAAACTGTCAAGAACAGATGCATCTAGATGATGAAGTGATTTTTAAATTTCTTGCTTTCTTAACATATTCCACAGGACGTCTCAAACTTTTACTAAAATATCAACATTTTGTTCTCTCTCATATAATTGACAGATGGAAACTTTCATTTTTAATTTAGAAAGAGGTACTTAAAAGTCAAATAATCTAGCTACAAATTGCTTTAAAACTCATCAAAATCGGCTTACTAGAACAAAATATATTAACCTTTTAAATATATCAAAAGTTTTACGGTGCCCGTCTTTCGTGTCTGTGAGTGTATCAGCGCCAATATAATTGTGTTCGTATCATATAGATAATAAATAACGATCTAACAAACATTTCATAATATACTGATTTATCATTGATAAATGGTCACTTCCATAGAAAGCAAAGCAGATGCCGTTTCTTTCCATCATACACTACTTTAATATAATTACTTGTATTTGAAAAATTGCTGAATTTATCGACAAATCTTACCTCGTTTTTGCTTCATCCACGCTGGCTTTTTAACACGCGCTGGCTCGTGTTCGGGACCTTCTTTGGGTTCGTCGACGCCATTCTCTTCAATATCGACTACTTCCTTAATTGTTTCATCGCCAAACAACGTCGACATATCCTCCCTTACGAGAGTTACGATTACCGTAACGAGAGCACCAGTCGTAACATCTGTCGGATTTTCATCGTCCATTACTAAAAATAATTAAAAAATTTTAATATGGTTTATTACATATGTTAAGCCTTAACACATCTTAAAATACACACAACCGCTATATCGAGAGATAAAAAATGTCTATACCTATGTCTATATATATCGAGAGATATTTAAAAAAATTGTCGCTATAATTACAATTAATGACAAAATTCGTTATATTTTATGTATCGAAATTCAAAAAATCAGAAGAATTAAAATAAATTTGACTAAAGGTTCCCACAGACGCTCAGTTTTATCGTTCAGGCCGTCTGTGCAAATCTAGTTTGTGCATGTATGTCGGTATATATAAGGAAGTACCGGCGGACTGTGCTGGCCTGGGCCTGACCTGGGCGAAATCACACTCTCTGCTTGAATTTGACATGCGCAAACTTAAAGCTCACCCCTATAACTTTTTTATTTTTTCAGATAAGAAAAACGATATTTGATATGTTAGTATATGACATAAATTAAGATTGATTCGCGTATTCAATTGTTTTCGGTCACTTCCTGTTTCACCGAAAAAAAATGTATTTTAAATTTCAATCTAGAGTGCCATGACTGTTTTAAAAACTAATTTTTAATCCAGGAGCCTTGGAAAAATAGATTTGATCGTCCATGTTTTTCGTGTTGTGTCCAGTTAAAAGATGCTCATATCATATTCTTCATCATATCTTATTTTTTTCAAATGGAACAAGGGTGGCTCATTAGCATATTTGGAAAAAGTATTTTTTTACAAATAATTTGGTCCCACACACTGGCACACACTTGGTATTTCGAGTCAAGTTGTCGTTATAAACCGCATGTTGCAATCATGTTGCAATTTCAAATTAAAATAAACCATACCGTGGCTAACGTCATATTCAAGGCTTGACTGTTTTGACAGTTCTACCGAAGTGGTCCAGAATTAGTAGTTGTAAACAAACCAATTGTTTTCATTAGTTTCGCAACAAATCTGTGCTTTTTACGCGTTTCTATGCTAATAAAATTATACTAAATAATTTTGAGTGAATAGTGAACTATCTAGATCCGATTCATAACATCGTACCTCCGAAAAAAAACATACTTTCGGTAAAAATTATAGTAACACCGGCGATGCCGGCTGTGTGTCCGGGCTAGGAAAAAGTTGGGGAATTTATATAAAAACATAATTAATAGCGTTAGTGTTAGTGTATAGTGTTAAACCAACGTAAGTGACGTGTATTTTTATGTAAAACAGTTTTCGTTTCTTTATTTTTACTTTGTGAAATAAAAAATTCCGCGACATTGTTCTCTGCCTGTGCCTTGTAGCAGCAATTATAATAAGTCCTCAGGATCTGTCTACATTCTCTTTCCCAACAATATTAACTGTAACTAGGTCACGTCCAAAACTTACAGAACATGCTGTTCTTACAATTTTTCCAAATCAACCCTCTTATGGACCCTCTGTGCATGTTCCCATAAAGAGAAAACGTCCCGATGAAAAAAAACAAGATTTGGAAATTCAGGATGAAATAAATATTGAAAAGTATTATTATTATTATGAAATGGCAATATATTTTAAAGAAATTAAATGAATTTGTACTTTATTTCAGTATTTTATATAAAAAAAATGATATCTTTATCTTTTTATTTACGATTTATGGAGATGGTTACTTGATGAACATCGAACTACAAATTACTTAATGTTAATAGTTAATTCTATCCGATATCCACATTTTTTAAATATGTTAGGCAAATTTTTACAATTATTTTTAATTAAACTTTAAAATGTATTCTACCGTTATCATATACAATACATTTTCTTAACTTGTCGATAAACGTAGTTTAAAATTTTTTAATATTTGGAAACTTTTTATCACAGGTATATTATTACTAGTTGCTAAATACTCGCTAACGCAATTTTAGGACACGATTTTTATTATCTAGATTTTATTTTGTTCATCTTATGCTGTAGTTTATTTCATATTAATATTCGTGCTTTAGATTTAAATTTTAATGCTATTCAATTACTTTAACGCGATAAAAAGTTAATGTTATTTTTTAATACCTTTCTGTAATTTTTTTTTTATATTTATATCTGGCAAAACTATCAATAAATACTATTATTTATGCAAAACCTATATGCAGTACCATATGGCACAATACAAAAGCTGGACTAGTGCGGTAACATCACAAATCGATGTCTCTGGCCTGTCTGTCATGTTGGTCATGACCATACTCCAAAATGTCAAAAGTTGACATATGATATGTCATTCAGTGTCATTTTCTATCAAATAAAGTAAAAAAATACCGAGGGTGCCATTTAAAAATCAAAAGTTGTAGTCATTTCCGGTGAAATAAGAAGTGACCAAAAACATTCAATCTGTAGATTAGATATTTTCAGTTTATTAGTAACTGAAAACAAAATGCCGATTTGTATATCGATGTTCCCTTAGGTGATGTGAGACCTTGCCATTGGTGTTATATCTATATATATTAAATATTCCTTAGATTTTGCGGTAATGTGTATACAAATGTATAAAGAATCTATAAGTAATTTTCACAAACCAAACATCTTTATCCAATTTACAACTTTCGGAAGATGATTCAATTACAAAACTCTGCTAAAATTAAAAAAAAAAGTACTCCAACGCTTACCTTCAACTGTAATTTGAAAATCTATATAAGGCATCGCTCCGAGAACTTTCATGACATTTTCATACTCGTCATCACTCAAATTCCTAAGAATAGATCTTCTTTCCTCGCCTTTTAATTGAGCATATTGCTGTAGGGTTTTAATTTGTCTTTTCTTGGACATAAAATATTTTAAATTGTCATCGGTTATGTAAGGTAGTTGAAGTAGTGGCGATTTAAACTCCCACATGCCCTGAACTATCATTGGACAGAGTTTCATGCAGTTCTCGATGGCTTCTGTTGTAATCAAACGCTCAACTGAAATACATTTAGTGATAACTGACTGATTTAAAACTATTGAAAACAAAATATACACTCAGATGTAAAAAAAACGCTAGGGAAAAATTTTCCATCAAGTTTAAAGTGTTATTTTTTTATTTTTAGCTCTATTTCCTTGCCTTTTTTTTAACTTACCTCTACGAGCATAACCTAATAATATCAGCTGATTCACACAATTAACTTGTTCTTGAATTAGATAGGGACATTTTCCTATAATGTAACGCCTATCTTTCTCTAACGTTTCTGGATTCAACGGTATCCTAGATAAATGAGCATGAATAATCGCTCTTGCTTTGATACTATAGGGATAACACAGAGGTTTTTGCTTATTTTTCTGATTCAGATTTTGTAGCTTTCTAAACAGCTAAAAATTATATGTTAATTTTTTAACTGATAAACTGAATAGTTACTAAAATTATCTACCATAGGAACTTCATCGTTATCTGATTGTCTCTCTTCAATTTCCGAATTGTGTCTCTTGTCAAACTCATAACTAGCAGCCAAAATCATTAAGACTCTTTTGAGGGCCATCTGAGGAGTGTTGTGGAAGAAGAAATAATACATATGGGTAGTGTTCATTAGGACCTGATCTCCTGTGAACTTCATACTTCTATACCACCAACTGCCCACCTAATGAAAGATATATTTAAATTGACTTATAGATGTTAAGTATTTTTTATATAAATCAAAATATAAAACTATTTGATATTTTATTAACACTTACCACAATTGGAAGAGCTACCATAAAAACTAAAGCATATAGACCTAGAACCCAAATGCTATTCTCTTTTTCAACTATCCACGAAGGAAGAGCTATTCCAAAACTCATCGCCCCGGGTCCATCAGGATTTCCATATTTCTCCCAATTTCTTCTAGCTTCCTCGTCAGTTAAAGCCTAAAAAGATATTATAATAATTGTATCTTCCTTGTGAAATTACTTTGCAATAGCTACACACCTGGTAAGCTTTAGTTAACTTCATAAATTCTTTTTCATTTCCCGTATCTTTGTCGGGATGCAGTATTAATGACAACTTTCTGTATGCCTTTTTGATATCAGCTTGACGAGCTCCCGGCGATATTCCCAATATCTCATATGGATCGAAATTTGCCATCTCGTAGTCGAACTGCGATAGTTTGTAAGCTATGAAGAGCAGAGTTATCCACCCTAGCACTATTCCTAATTTTATAAAGAAATTCTTAGTTTTTCTCCATGGTTCTGAAGTCTTTAAATGTTCCCTTTTCGTTATACAAGGAGGACACTGACATTTCTTTTTTTCTTCCTCCAAATCTTAAATAAAAACTATATGTAAGTTAACCTATAATTTTAGAATAATGATTATTATTTTAAATGTTATAATAAATAAAAGGTGGTTAATATAATTAATACTAAACTATAACTGGATTAGTAAAACATTTAAATAAATGAAGAACGCTAACATTTAAATTTTCATGTTTGCTTAGACATACGAACCTATTTTTTTCTTTTTTGGCCAGTAAAATAGTGTTACGGGAATTAAAATTAAGGCCAAAAAGGATAATAGAAAGTAGAAAAATGTTGCACCGCTTTCATCATATTGAAACTTTTGCCCCATTTTTAATAATTAATAAAAAGGGCCACTGACGTGTCATTCAAATATTCATTTACGGAATTTAAAAAGACAAGTGTTCAAAAAATTTTGACATTTCCATACACATCCTCATTTTTTTTAGACCACAGAACACATGTTATACACATGGTCGCCAACATAACAATCATAAAATAAATTTTATTTTTGTTTTGATAGTTAGGCAACTAGTATTACTTGTTTTTTTTATTTTCTCTTTGTTGAGCAAAAGTAATACAAATGGACTTCCTAATTTCTAAAAAAAATTGCGGTCACAAACAAATATTCATATATACAGAACTTATTTAAGTCTTTCTCAAATATCTAAAATTTAGATTAAACAATTCTAATTTAAATATGGGCGCGCAGGAAATACGTGGTCCATATTGTCAGAAAAATACGTCAATGTCAAACGTCAAGCAAAACTTCCTTTTTATGGTGGACGTTGTGTCCGCTCGATGTGTGATAATAGATTTTTAAAGTTAATCTAAAAAAATGGTAAGTTACAATAATTTATAATAAAATATTTCACCCCTAATGGTAAGCCACTTTGATAATACATGCTGGCTATATTTATTTGGTGAGGGAATTAAACTATTTGCGTATAGCCACGTGTGTTTGTAAGTGGCTCATATGGAAATGTTTTTTATATTATTTAATAAATACATATATATGTGTTGAATATTTGGAGCATTCTTTTTGTAGAATTTCCAACTGCTATAAATACTGTTTTTTATTTCAAAAATGAACAAAATTTCTTTTATTTTTCGACAAGTTACTTAACCTCAATTTTTGTACATGATGAAGTTGTCTTTTGGTCCGTGTTGTTGAAGTTCTATGATAATAATTACAAAAGCACTGAGTTCTTAGTACATGTAGGCCATATTTTATTGTTTCTATTTACATTAATATACAATGGTATATTTTATTTTAGGCGTTGTCTACGGCACGTCCCCTTATAAGTGTTTACGATGAGAAATCTGAAGAAGTTAAGGGAGCTAGCATTGCTCTCCCTGCTGTCTTTAAGGCTCCAATTAGACCAGATGTTGTAAACTTTGTCCATCAGCAAATTTCAATGAACCATCGCCAGCCTTATTGTGTCAGTGATAAAGCTGGTATGTATTTTCTTTGGTATTATGATGTCTTAGGGGGCCTCCAAAATCTCAAATTGCCTCACAAAATTAAGGGACGATCCCTTAAGAAGGGTTGAAAAAATTGAGATTCTTTGGAGAAAATGTATATTTTTGAAATTTGTCTCTTGATTTTTTGTCAGTGTCTGTTTTACCAGAAACAACTACAACTTTTGATTTTTAAATGATACCCTCGGTGTTTTTACTTTATTCAATAGAAAATGACATTTTAAATAGACATATCATATGTCAACTTTTGCCTTTCAATTAAAAAAATAGCATTTTAAATTTCAATTTAGAGTGCCATGGTCATAAATGTAATGACAATTTGACTGAAAATCTGAAATATCAAATGTGTGGTACCAAATTAGTCGTAAAAAAATGCTTTTTCCGAATATACTAATGAGCCATCCTCATTACAATTGAAAAAAATGAGATATGATTAAAAATACGATTTGGGCATCCTTTAACCGGCCAGGACAAGACTCGAAAAACATTAGACAATCAAGTATATTTTTCCAAGGCTCCTTGATTAAAAATTAATATTTTTAACACAGATAATTTTTTTTTCAAAAGTTGACATAGTGTGATATGTCATTTTTTTCAGAGTGTCATTTTCTATTGAATAAAGTAAAAAAATACCGAGGTTGCCATTTAAAAATCAAAAGTTGTAGTAATTTCTGGTGAAACAGGGAGAGGGAGTTTATTTTATTAAAAATCCCTAATCAACTGAAAAAGTGTAAGACATGGCAACGTTACAAATTGTTTTTAATTTAAATTTATAGGATTATAGTTGTCTCACTCATTGCCTACGAGAGAGAGAGATATGTCAAACTGCCATTGAGTCTCAATTTTCCTTGTTTATTTTGTTAAGAAAAGCGTTTTTCAGTAAAATTTTGGATATTTTTCTATACACAATCAAGAGTGGCATTTAGATAAACTTAGATAAACTATGATATAATGAAATTATTATTTTATAATATCCTAAATTAAGGAAATTTCAATGTTCAAAATTTCCGTTATTCTAAAAAAGGGTAATGGACCGCCAAAAAGTTCAATCTATGACCTTAAAATAGGGTGCATACAAAAATTTATGAAAAAAACGATGATTTTCAATTTTTACAATACTTAACCTCTAAAACTTCTGTTTTAATTGGGTTTTGAATTTAATAATAATCCGGGGATTTTAATCATTTTAACCATAGATTTAGATATGCTTAAATATCAAGAACAGTTACCCTAATAGGACTGCTCATTCAGCCTAAAGTGTCTGCCAGGTGCATGCGAAAACTCCTCGCTTTGTGACGTCATTGTAGTCCTTGTCATGATAGTGTGTGTATTATTGGTGCATTATTTAGTTTATTTATTTAAATACCTTATATGTATGCAGTATAGAAAATTAACTGTATAAATTGTATTAAATACTCGGATAATGCATTTTTAAGAACATCAGTTCCCAGCATTACCTTTTGCAGGCATTCTTTTTAGAGTACATCTTCCATATTTTGCTTTAAAATAATTAATAAACAATATCGTAGGCACTTAGTAAGCACTTTCTCACAATCCACAACACAAAATAAACGAATTTATAAACTCTATAGCTCTAAAAAATTTAAAAACACTTTTTTCGCATTTAACATTGACAAAATAATTATCTCAAAATTTCTCAGCTGTTACTTTTATAAATTTTCCATAGGCAACCAATAATACACACTATCATGACAAGTGACAAGGGCTAAAATGACGTCACAACTGTCAGCTGAAGCGCGGGAAGAGGCGAACGTACGTCTTATGAAGATGAGCAATCCTATTAGTTTACCGTTCTTGGTTAAATATCACTTAAATATGATGATTTGCTTTTGGTCCGTGTTTATGAGTCTTTGTGATTTGTATTTCAAAAGCACTGATATTCTTTACTTATATTTGGTATTAATTTACCAGATTAAAACTAACTATAAATATTGTCCAGCTTTATAGAATATTAGCCAATAGTGTTGTTATTTAGGTCACCAAACTTCTGCCGAATCGTGGGGTACTGGTAGGGCCGTTGCACGTATTCCTCGTGTTCGCGGTGGTGGTACCCATCGTTCCGGCCAGGGTGCTTTCGGCAACATGTGTCGCGGAGGACGCATGTTCGCTCCCACCAAACCATGGAGGCGTTGGCACAGGTAAAAATGTAATTATAGCATTGCAATGATAAATAAAACTGTACATATGTTTTGGCAATTTTGAGATGAGGGCAAATTTATAATTGAGTATAAAATGAAAAAGGTATAATATTGAGATGCGCCAATTTACCATGCTAAAAAAGGAATTGGGCATGTCATGAGGTTGACATGACATGCCCAATTCCTTTTTTATATTATTTTTTATTATTTTGTTGCGTTTGATTTTTCTTATTCAATCTTTTACCTCACGTCATTGTTAAGTTTGAAAGCTTATCTCAATATATTATAACACTGAATAAATTAAATATTTAAAATAAACAGAGCCGGACTTAAAATTAGTTTAAATAAATTGGGTTGAAATGTCTAAAGCAAAAAAAAATATTAAGTGTGGCATATAATTGCACTCAGGAGACAGAGTTTTTTCAAAACCTGAAATAAAAAATGCAGGTCCGTATTAAAAAAAACAAGTTGGCCTCTGCATCTAACAAATTATCAGCTAATTTGAAAATCTAAAAATACTATCAGATAGCCCTGATACAGTGGCTATGAGAATGTGCAATTACTTTTTTGATTTTCTAAAAAGTAACGTCAGGAGAAAATAAAATTTATTTTCCAAAAAATCCGTTTTTCTCAAAAAAAAACAGCAATTGAAATTTTTGAAACTTTCGATAGTATGTTGGCAATCATCCCAAGGCGCAACTTTGCCCCAATTTAACCATCTTCGCATCTATTACGGTTTCCGAGATACCAATGCTCGTACCTCGAATTTGTAGCACCCTGTATAGCAGCGAAATTTGCTAAATATGACTAAAAAATATGTAACATGTTATATAACTTTGCTATATAGCAGTGTTATATAGCAAGTGTGGACCGTCCTTTATATAGCAAGTGTGGGTCGTCCTTTATATAGCAAGTGTGGACTGTCCTTATGAATACCTTGGTTACAAATCTGCATTTAAATAGTCGGCCAACTAAAAATTATCTGTCAGCGTATATCCTACTAATTTTCAAAATAAAAAACCAAACATGTTTCATTGACAAAAACATAATCTTGAATAAGCATTGGTAAAATCATGATTGCATACTAAAAATTGAAATTTGGGTTATATGTTATGGAATATCCTATCATAACTCTGTTATCACACTAAATCACGCTGTATAATTATTTATTATGATGATTTGCTTTTGGTCCGTGTTTATGAATCTTTGTGATTTTACTCTCAAAAGCTCTGAGCAATTTTTTCATTATTTTTAATATTATTTAAGTTAGATTTTCAGAAAACTGATTATTATATTTTCTTTTCGTCCTTTCAAGACGTGTAAATATCAACCAACGTCGTTTTGCCCTAGCAGCAGCCATTGCTGCCAGTGGCGTCCCAGCTTTGGTAATGAGCAAAGGACACGTCGTTGACCAAGTTCCAGAACTCCCATTGGTTGTCTCTGACAAGGTACAGGAATTCAAGAAAACCAAGGAAGCAGTGCATTTCTTGAGAAGGTTGAAAGCATGGCCTGATATACAAAAGGTACATGATGCCCAAGAGAACTTGTAAAGGACAGTTTTAAAAGTATGTTGTTTATTTTTAAAGGTATACAAAAGTCAGAGATTCCGTGCTGGTAAGGGTAAAATGCGTAACAGGAGGAGAATTCAACGTAGAGGGCCATTGGTTGTTTACCATCAAGATCAAGGTAGGTTTTATACATTTACCGTAGTACTTTATAATAAACTCGCAGGCAAAAAAAACCGCCCGCTAAAAACTAGTCCTAATTTCAAAGTTGGATTTCTCGCGAACCACTCATTAGATTTTGATGATTTTTTTTTAAATTGTAAATTAATTCCTTCTTAACAGATGCTACGTCAGAAATTTTTATTCCGAATTTATTTTAAGCATATACAGGGCACAACAATAAAGCTCCGCGCGCACTGAAGGGGTATCGGCGATAGCGAGCGGCACGACCGGTCGGAAAGTCGATTGTAGCCGCGCACTGGAGTCGCATGATCGGCGGTCGAGAGTACATCACCAGCATAAATTTGAGCATAGACGAGGAGAAGTTTATTCAAATTTAGTCAAATTCATTCGGCATTTCAAAAAATTATAAAGTATTATTACTATTTATATTTTTATGCAACTTTTTATATTTTATGCTTTATGATGGAAATTAATATTATTTAGATCTTAACCAAACACACAATATATTTAGATCTTAACAAACCACATAAAATTAGTGAAATAGAGTGGAAGATGGGGATAAAATATACCACATGACTCTTAGCTTAACTGATTTTAACAAATTTGGTATCATTCAAAGGGGTTTAATTTGTTCTTTAAAAACAAAGCTAGATATGAAAAATAGTCAAATAAAACTTCTATTTTTAGTTTTTTTAATCTAAATAAGTGTCATTATAAACATTTATATATAGCTTTTATTTTAAGTTTTTAAAATCTTTGTTTTAAGTCAGTAGTAAATAAAACGAAACTTGTGTTTACATTTTGTTTAATGATTGACGTTTCGACCAATTTTAATTCAGTCTTCTTCAGAATCTATAATATACGTAGGTATAAATGATGTTCTACGTTTGTGGTAAGAAAAATTATATATTAAACACATTGTTAGTGATAAAATAGTATTGTATATTATAGATTCTGAAGAAGACCGAATTAAAATTGGTCGAAACGTCAATCATTAAACAAAATGTAAACAAAAGTTTAGTTTTATTCACTACTGACTTAAAACCAAGATTTTAAAACCTTAAAATATAATAAAAAAGTCAAAGAAAATTAAAAAAAGAAAAAATATATAGTTTTTAATTTATCGTACCGTATGATCGATAAGAAACGACATCAGCGATGGCCATGAAATGAAGGTCGGTGTCATTTTATATGTAAATTTATATGGGAAATGTCATCAATCGTCATTTCCCATCCAACTGGACGCCGTTTTTTATCATACGGTAGATATATGTACAAATATTTTATTTAAACATAAATATTATTTTCTCTATTTGTACCTTGTTGGGAGCGATCAACATAGTAACATTATTTATCAGCTGTTATTACTAACGTCAAAACAAACCAAGAATTAAATAATATGATAAGTTTTTTGACGATATTTAAATTAGATTTCCATTATAATGTGAGATAATCAAAACGAGATGAGAAATAAATGGGTTTAATCGGAAGGTTTTCTAATTCAGTTATTGAATAAGTGTATTAAACAATATGGGTTACGTGCTTGTAAGAATTTTTTATAAAAAACCGCATATTAAGTATGATATGGTCTCGTACACTTTCAATTAATAATTCATCGGAAATGTTTAATGTAAAACTGCTCCAATCTAAATTTGTTTCCTTTGTCTATGTATGACGTTAATCAAAATACACACAGACATCTATCACAGAATGAAATCGAAATTACATTACCATAGCGCCTTTAGATTTTTAGGTTGTGAGATTCAATCATATTTTTAGTTTTTTTTTGTAATTTTCTCTAAAATAGTGTGGAAATATGGAAAAGTATAAACGGGATTAGCCATTTTATAACAAGCAAAATTGTTTATAAAGAATTTTTTCTCAAAATGTTAATAATGAAAACGTTTTTTCCCTTGTAAGGACAATCCGGTAACACCTAGTGTATATAATTTTACAGTTACAGCCTAGTCAGTAAATTTAGCACTTTTCTCATTCCATTTTTAGGAGATTATATCTTATAAATGGTCCAAACGAGTGCCAAATTAACTTGTGATGACTTGTACATTTTTAGTATTTTTTGCAGTTGCTAATTAAGTGCAAACGTCACAATACACGTTTTTAAGATTAATATTATAGGAAAAGAAATTATTAAGAAACTTTTTGTCTCTTATTAAATGTTACCTTTTTAATAGTAGAAGGGATAATTTAAACGATGTACTTAAACAGCCGTTAAACGGTAGCCTACTAAAATGCCGTTAATAGATATTATGACGTCGTTCATGTCGGCGGAAAGTAATGCCGGGCTATAAGCATTTTGCAAGAGCATCTGTGGCTCCGTGGCTGAGACTATCGCTTCGTGAGCGAATGGTCCGTGGTTCAAGCGTGGTTATTTGGAGGGTGTTAATTCATTGGTTAGTTGGTTATTTGGTGGGGTTGGTTGGTTTTTACTAATTTATATTTGTTCTTTAAATTTTTTTATCAGTGTCGAGGTTTGGTTGCGTTAGTTAAGTTGGTTATTTGGTGGGGTGGATAGCGTTGGTTAGTCCTTATAAAATTCCTATATTTCATAAAGCCGTCAAGTGCGTCACATCAACGACGTCTTACCTATTAACGTCATTTTAGTAAGCTACCGTTTAACGGCAGTTTAAGTACAGCCTAATTTAAATTGGAAATCATTCATAATTCGATTATGAAAATAATCGTCAAAGAGTTTTCCAATTATCGAAAAAATAATTCTAATTTTTTAATGAATGGTAAGAAAATATAGTCGCTTCGTTGCGATTACTTGTGGCACAGAATATCTAGCTACGCAACAGAAAAATACTCGAAATGAAAGAGCTAAAATTGCACAAATAGAATACTAGATGGCGCGACAATATCATAATCAGAATATAATTAGAAATTTTGAACTTTCGGTTTTGGATCGACGGCTCGTCGACGGCCTTATAGCTCGGCTAAATATGCACAGTTGCCAGATTCAAAAGACTTGAATTGGCATCCCATTCTTTTATTTTGTATAATGCAGTATGTGTTTCTTTCTATTCTTCTTTTCTTGTCAGATACACTTATATTAATTATTCCTTTGGCTATTAAAATAGGTTTAAGTATATTATTACAAAACATATACATTTTTAATATACACTACCTTATAATGTTAACTAAGAAAATACCTTTAATTACCTTTAAAATTAATAATATACAGGGCGATTGATAGTGATATTTATGCGTTAGTAATGAAATATAAGTTTAAAAATAATGGAAATAATTTATTAAAATGCAGTACAAAAAATGTTAACTGACTAAAAAATACTATAATAACAAATTTCTTCCGTTTGCCACGTTATTTATATAGACCTAGGTAGATTTTAAAAAGTGACACAGGTACAATTAATAATATATTAGTTCGGCATAAAAGTTGCTGTCACGACATCGAACAATAAATTAAAATTCATAAAATAAATTAAAATTATTAATTAAACAAATCTTTATAAAGAAACGCAAGTATACCAAATTTGGGCCCAATCGAACTCCAGGAAATGATATCATAATAGTGTACTATATTATGGCACCACTCGATATACTTTAAGGTACCATAATATTGCAATGTCACCGAAGATCCGTAGTATACCAAGTTTAAGCCCTATTGCCGCCATGTACCTAATATTGCTATGTCATCAAATATGGTACTATAGAAGGTACCACTTTATATGCTCCATGATATCACGATATTACAATGTCACTGAAGATATAGTATACCAAGTTTAAGCCCAATCGAACGCCATGTATCGTAGTATAGTACTATATTATGGTATCACTTGATATGCTTCTGAAAAAAACGGCGTTCAGTTGGCTGGAAAAGGACGATCGATGACATTTCCCATATAAATTTACATATAAAATGACAGTGATATTCATTTCATAGCTATCGCTAACTCTGTTTTTTCCCGATTATACAATATGAACTTGGTATGAACACAATCGAACGTCAGGAAGTGGTATAATAGTAGAACAATACTTATTATATTGTCGCCGAATTACAATGAAAATTCAGGATTCAATTATACAATTAAACGTCAGGAAGTGATTGTAATTTAGCTCATAAGTTTTAATTCCAACTAACATGGCAAACTGAAAAAACAGCTCTGATCTATTTTAATATGTTTAAATGATGTAGCAAATTTGAAGGTAGGCTTTATCAGGAAGTATTACGATATGAATTACACAATGGCAATACTGCACAAAATTCTTTTAAATTTTGTTTGTAGAAAACTGTTTTCTTTTAAATTTATTGCCCTCTATTATTAAGTAGCGAAACTACCACATCAAAATATCTGATTTGGAGACAGACTTTTAAAGCCTGTCTCCTTTTGCTACCTACAATTTTATACATGTAACGAGGCTTCTGTTGCGTAGCTAGATATTCTGTGCTTGTGGTTAACACTAGTCGATGTTTCGGTGTAATTTATTTCTTTAGCGTTATCGAGAATCTAAGCCTACGGCTACACAGAAGAACCGCTCAAAGCTCGAGCGGTGTCAATATGAACGTGCACTTAAACTTTTGAATAATTTTCATATTAAAAAGTAGTTTTTCTTTGTTGAAGGTTTGCGTAGGGCTTTCCGTAACATCCCCGGCATCGACCTAATCAGCGTAGAAAAACTGAACCTGTTGAAGTTGGCTCCAGGCGGTCACGTTGGCCGTTTCGTCATTTGGACCGAATCGGCCTTCAAAAAATTGGATAAAGTCTTCGAAAACTGGAAGGCACCATCGACGAAGATGTCCAATACCGATTTGTCAAGATTATTCAAGTCGGAAGAAATCAGAGCAGTACTTCGTGCACCACAGTAAGTACTAGTTTGTATTTTAATTATAATATTCTTGGTTATTTTTTATTTTGTTTATTGTACTATTTTATAGTATTGTGATTTATTTATTTGCAAGTTTATTTCCTAAAAACAATAAGGCCAGTTTAAACATTGATTATATGTTTATTGGTTTTAATTTTATTTTAGTGTTTGTCATGTCTATTAAGAATATTTTTTAACATTTGTCATACACTTCTCTTGGAAACAATTTACTACATAAATGTTTTTTAAATCTGAAAAAAGTGAGCTTAGATGACAAACTATTGAAGGACAGTTTTAGTTTTGATTTAATCTTAATTTATTAATATTGGCTTATATACAGTACGTCCCCGGATTTTCTTTACAGGAAGAAAAACTTTTATTATTGATATTTTGAGAAAAATTCTATCTTCGTAAAAATTTTTGTTCTAAAATAGTCCTTTTTTCCAAATTCTTTCCTAGAAATTTCTAAAAAGTCTTTTCTCTTGCAAAGACAATCTGGGGACATACTATTTGTATACGTTAAAATACTTGTTCATTCAAGTTCTAGGCAATTTTTTTGGCGCTTTTATTTATTTTGTGTTCTAACTAATCTAACCTTTTTATATAGGTATTTCAAGTGCATTTTTTGTAAAATGCCAGTAAACACATGAAATATGTTAAGATGTTGCAAGTTTTAATCTCTTACAATTACTAATTAATACAATAAATTTATTCTACTTGTTCTGTTTTTATGATGAAATGCTTTGAGCACTGGGTTATGATATAACCAATGATTACAGTTTTTGACATTCACTTCTGATGATTTATTTCTGTTCATACAGATACTCAATGCATTATATACAGAAAATGGTACTTAATATGTATTATTCTATTTCAGAAAGAAGATTGTTCGACGTGTACGTCGTCTCAATCCATTGAATAATACCAGAGCTCTATTGGCTCTGAACCCATACGCTGCCGTTCTTAAGAGACAAGCTGTCTTGGACGACAAGAAGAGAAGTTTGGCCAGGGAAGAATTATTGGCCAAGAAACGCGGTGTAAGTATATTCGAGCTATTTAGTCTAATTTTTTTTGATTAAGTCACTAATTTTATGAAATTGGTATAATAGTCGCATCTAAAAATGTCAGGTCTGTCATTAGTGTTGCATGCAAGCAAAGGGCGGTGTACAGGGTGGGCCAAATTGGATATAGACCGAGAGAGACCATGACATAAGATTTTGCTACAGGTATTCGACATGTCGATCGTCTTCTGTTATGGAGAGACGGGATCGTTTTTGAACATTTCTCGCGGAATTCATTAACTCAGTGGGGGCAAAAGATACCCTCGCATAACCGCTAAATACTTCTAATTCTTGTCTTAATTATATGGGCTATTTAAAAATAAGACCCTGTATTCTTCTTAAAAATAAAAATCCATAGGCCCTAAGTCCGGCGGCCTCGACGGACAATGGCTGAGATCTTGGTTAGCTATTCAATTATTCTCGAAATTGGCTGCAAAAATTTGCTGACAACTTCAGCGTCCTGAGGCGGTGCCTCGTCTTGCTGGAAAAATGTTTTCGAGTTCCGTTAAGGGCAGATCATCAATAAGGGGTCCAAAGCCTACTATTTGAAAGTGGCGAATTTTTAAAAATTCTGTATTTCGACTGATAGCACACATTCGACAATATAGCACACTTAAACAAAATATCAAGAGCGTGCTATATTTTTGGAAAGGTAATTTTAAAATATACACGGTGTCCCAAATAAAAAATCAATTTTTCTGTTGATAACTCTTAAATTATATTTTTAAAAAAAAATAATACTTAAATCATTAAATTCTACGTAAAAAGGTGCTTTAGAAATGTTTTCATAGAAATACTAAATTTTTCATAACAAAAAAAATTACAGCGATTTGTTAAAAATGCACATTTTTGAAAAACACCCCGTAACTCCGAAACGGTAACAGATACCCGTTTGCGGTTTTCACGGTTTTTGATAAAAATTGAGCCCCAGACACCGATATTAGTTTTCGTTTATCTCCTATAGAACAGGGTGTTTCCCTTTAAAAGCGTCTAATTTGGCCCACCCTGTACAGTGCCTCTTTTTGTGATTGGGTGGTTTAATGTGATTACTATTGATACTCAGAATTCCACCTTATTGAATTTGTAATTGACCTGTTTTACGCTGGTATAATGGCATCTTTATTGGATATTTATTTGAAATTTTTTCAGAATTGAATCCAAATGATCCAAATTTATCCAAATGAACTTTTCAGTATACCGGGTCGGCATTTCTGGCCTCGGGTGCCGATTTAAAAAATCATCAAAACCTACTAAGAACAATGTATATTGTACTTTAAAAACATATCCACATTTTAAAGCGCCCGCGGTTTTTTTATCGTGTTTTTTTAGGCTGAGAACAAACGAGGCGGCGCGCGGCGTCGGCGTCGGCACTTTGTTCCTAGCCTATTCAGCGGCTGCCGCGCCGCCGTCCGTGTGTTTTGTACCACTGAAGATTGAGGAGCCTACGCAGGCGGCACAACTCGCGGCGCACAGTGCGTTGGATGGTCATTCTAACGGGACAACAATCTTATGGTTACTATACAGGGTGAGTTTCCTACGATGTTCTCTATGGGTATCTCGGAAACTACTGGAGATAGAGAGTCGGTTAAATGGGGAAATAATTCCAGTTTTGTGGGGTCATAAATATTCGCCTTTCAGATTTTTGAAAAAGTTCATGGCTTACTAGATATTTCGAAAAAAACGAATTTCGGCTATTTTAAAAATTGTCTCTAATTCCATTACAAGCTATTTTATACAAAAAGTTTTCAGATAAAAGTTGTAGATAATCACATCCTTAATGAGACCGTGTCCTCCGTTTTTTTCTAAAGCCTGTCATTTTTGATATATGACACAAACATATATTGTTTTTAAATGGAAACCATAGTTGGCCATGACTTCACAAAAAGCGCCATTTTTTAAGCCTTTTAGCGATATAAGCTGTAATATCTTTTCTTCGAAAAATTACTGAGTTATAGCCAATTCTTATCATTTTAAAACAATTTCACTAATGGTGGGTTCATACAGCCAAATAAAATAAAATAAGAATAAAATAAAATAAAATAAGAAAGTTGGTTATATGGGATACCGTACATGCGTTCATACAGCCAAATAAAATAACAAATAAAATAAGAAGTCTTTATCTTTTAACTTCTTGTTTTATTTTATGTGAAAACGGCTTTGCGCACGCTTAATTCTAACCTACAAATATTTTCAGTTTGGATTTAATTTATTTTATAATTTCACATAAGTAAAATGTATAATATAGTAGGCAACGAATAAATAAATATACTATAAATAGTAAAATTACTATAAACAATCGTAAAAGTTAACTTTTATCCAGCCTCATCGTACTGCGCATGAGCAAATATATATTTCTTATTTTATTTTATTTGACTGTATGAACGCACACAAATAAGAATTCCTTATTTCTTATTTTATTTTATTCTTATTTTATTTTATTTGGCTGTATGAACCCACCATAAGTTAGCCATGGAAACAGGTTTAATTGTCTTTGCTCTCATAAATGTGAAGCTGTCACATCCAAACTTTGTAAATTAAAATAAACAAAAATGGTAAATATGAATTTTTCAAATGAAGAAAAGCATGTAGGATTATTGGTTCAACCTTTCTTGGCCATACATTTTCGAGGATACGTTGACTGGTGAATGTTACGATTTTTAGAGAACGGTTTTCAAAACATGTTAGAAAAGTTAAATTTAGTTATAGCCAATTATGAAAGGCGAATATTTATGACCCCACAAAACTGCAATTTTTTCCCCATTTAACCGACTCTCTATCTCCAGTAGTTTCCGAGATACCCATAGAGAACATCGTAGGACTAACTCACCCTGTATATTAGACCATTTGCTACGTTCTTAGATTTTATTTAAATCTCAAACATCGCTACTGATGTTTTGTCCAGCTAGACTTACCATCCGCCTCAGCGTTCCGCGCCGCTTCGACGAAAAGCCGCCTCGTGTGACCTCAGCCTTATTGTTATAATGAAGATATTTAATGCTACTATTTTTATTTCCAGATCACTTTACCCAGCAGTAGCCCGGTAATCAGGTCGGCAAAATTGCAAGCCCGCAGGAGGGCAGCCATTTTGAAAGCGAAAAAAGCGAAACCGACGAAACCTGCAAAGCCCGCGGCGAAAAAAGCACCCGCTCCCGCCAAGAAGTAACTGAGGTTGCTATAGTTGTTAACTGTGGTGACAAGATAAAATAAACGTTAATAAGACCTATATTTTATTGTTTTTTACACACTAAACCTGAAAACCTTTTAGAATAATGTTTCAATAATGTAATGTTTGTATTATAAAATAAAGATATAATACAAAAAACACGAGCTTTTAAAAATTTGTGAAGGATTTATGAGGTTTGTTCCAACACAGAAATTTGTACCGTTCTAGAACGGTAATGAGGAAGATGCATACATTTTATTTTTCGCCAGAAACTGTTCAATTTATTAGAATAAATATGTGTAAATGCAAAAAAAAATTTCTTGAAAACAGTACCACAATTTTATAAAACGGGCCATTAAAATACTATGGATAACGCAAACAACGCCTCGCGAATTGAAACGGTATTCTATTGGTCTGACGTCACCCGCAGTTCTCGTCGACGCGCGATGGCTAGCAGCAGCCAGACGTGTTCCGTTTATGTACGTATTTAGGTCGCGTACTAAGACATTTTTGTTGCTTTTAGCGTTGATTGAAGGAGGTTTTTATGCTTTTTTGTGCAGTTATTATTTGTATGTGTTGTGTGTTCTGAGAATTTTTTAAGTAATGGCAGATTCCGGGTTTGTAAAAGCACAATCAGATAAATTGTCAAAAGTCGATGCTTTTATGTTGGCTGCTTTTATAAATACAAATTCCCAATATTGGTGCTGAATTACTAGGAAAAAAACAGAGAGGTATGTAACATTTATTCTTTGTAGTACTGAGGCATATTTAAGTATAAGTAGGTACCTACTGTTACGAACTTTTATATAGTTATAAATATTAATGTTATAAACTTATTTTTCAGATCAGGTAGGGAGACGTATGGAGATAATGCTGTAGGTTATGTAGAAGTGGAAAGAGACAAAAATATTTGTTTAGTACGTGGAAAAATAACTCCAGAGCATAGCGTGAAAAAGACAGTTTTTTTTTTATATATTGACACCCCTTACCCTTGTTATTTTTAAAGATTGTTTTTTACGAAATTATAGGAAATAAATTGTTTATCAGTAATGAAAATATTATACAAGGTGTCCCATAAGCAAACGCCAAAATTAAGTTACCCTTTTAAGTGAAACACCCTATATATTTTGGATTCTTCGGAAATTTCTAGATATTCTATATATTTCATGTATAATATCCTATACCTATCTTCAAATGTTTACGAAATATTGACAGTTGAAAAGCGAAAAATACCTACTATTTTCTGGACCACCTTTTTTGAGACACCCTGTATAACTAGAATTAATTTTAAAAGAGAGTATATGAAAAACCATGCAACTTTTTTATTTAATGTTTTCTTCTAAAACTTGCAGTTAAGGCTGTATGTGGGTGTCAAAATATAATGAATAACCCTGTACATTCAAATTTCATATACCCTATGTAAGACAATATACATAAATATATGAACTTACATCAAAATGATCTTCACAACAATAAATCGTAAAAATAGAGGATAATTTAACGTTTTTCTTTTCATCTCTTCTCATGGCCTTGGACCTTTTTTTCTGTTTTCGCTTATCCATTACTATTCATAAATATCACTAATTACTAATTATGTATTAATTAACACAAATAACTAAAATTTTGACTCGGATGCAACAGCGTTTAAAAACAAACTGTGTAAAATAAACACGCGTCTGGCTCCACTCATCCACAAGAACGGCGGGTGACGTCACAGCGGCAAGACGCGGTAGAGAGACATTTAATTTAACAATATTTAATTATTTTATATTAGAGGCATTTCTTAACCGATTTCAACGATTTTTTTTGTTCAATTTGTAATTATATGAACTATTTTTTAAAACCATTATTTAAAAACATGCATTTTCCTCATTGGGATCGCCGGCATCGGATTGGTACGATATATAAAATTAAATGCCGGTTGGAACTTCAGAATCTTAGATATATACTCTAGCAGCTCGAACTCTGCAACTCGTGAATTTTCGCTATGCGAATCGCCAACGTGTGAAATAGAGTATTGTATTGTAGAAACAAAATTTTGTTCTGTAAATGTTTTGTTGCGACTTAGTTTTAGTTTGTCATGTAATGATGCTAAATATTCTGTGATGGTAATATTTCAATAACTATTTGGTGGTACAGAATGCGATTAAATCACTCTGTATATATTGACAAAAATATTTTTAAAATGTGCTCTGCTGTTGTCTGCAGGTTTTGTAAAATTGATATGAAAATATGAAATCAAAAACCTCTCTTATAGAGGATAAAATTTACTACCGTATGATCGAAAAAAAAACGGCGTCCAGTTGGCTGGCAAATGACGATCGATGGTCTTCGATGCGATTTTCATTTCATAGCCAATCGCTGACGCCGTTTTTTTTCGATCATACGGTATTTTAATACACACTTTGCTATGGTTTGAAGTATTAAAAAAACAATTATTTTAGAAATTTTTTTGTTCTGAAAGTGCATTAGATAAAACATTATACTGTCAAAAAACGAAGTTAGAAATTGAAACTTAAAAAAAGAAATACCCTTGATTATGAATAACATATAGACAAGGCAATTAAATACCTAAAAAAAATTGCCATAAAGTTTTATCAAAATTTACTCTTTGGTTCTACATGTTTTTTCCTGCATTGGGGGTGAGATGGAGAATTTAATTTTTAAGGTGATTTAAGGTAATTCTGATTAAAATATTGAAATGTGAGCACAAGTTGTAGATTTCCTCTACAACTCTTCTCTCTTTGGGTATTTGGAACCAACAGTTAACCGTCAGTTTAAAACCAAATCATTTTTCCAATATATAAAAGATTAAAAACTTTCAATCTTCAACATTTTCTATACTTTCTAGAAGTATCTCGTCCATTTCCTTTAAAATATCCTCATTCCATTTAAAATCTTCAATAATCGATTCCGTACATGTTTGTTTTTTTCTTCCATACCTATTTTTTTCTACTTCAGCTTGAATTTGAGCATCTAATAAAGATGGCATTTTGCACATTCTTGTGTCCAATTTTGTTAAGGTTCCATTGTATTGCAGAGCACTTAATATTTCTTTACCTATTTCCTAAAAATGATTACTTCCTGTAAGACTACATGAATAAATTCATACTTATTAATTTAATATCTTTGATATACTTTTGGTAACTTTTCTATTTGTTTTTCGTCTACTCTATATAAGTTTCTTTAAAATATTTTCTTTTAATATTTCTTTATTAATACATATATTTTTATAGTGTACTTACTTCACCTAATACATTATTGGAAACATCCAAATATTCTAAACATTTATTAATTTTTAGGTATTTGCATACTTCGAAATTTGTAGATAATCCACAGGAAGCTAACGACAACCATTTTAGTTTTGAATTGTTTTGGGATATAACGTTCATCAACAAATTTCCAGTTTCATCTGATGTCTGGTTCAGTCTTAAATTGATTTTTTGAACGTTTTGTGACTTTTGGTTCAATGCATACGCTAAAGCTGTTATTCCTTTGTGGCCTATAATAAAATTTATTTTCTGAATAAAATATTCAAAATAATCATGTTCTTGAGCGTGATTAGTAATATTTGCTATTGAGCCGAGATATTTATCATAAAGCCAACTATACAGAGGGTACTACAAATTCGAGGTACAAGCATTGGTATCTCGGTAACCGTATAGATACGAACATGGTTAAATTGGAGCAAAGTTGCGCCTTTCGGGTGTTCACCAAGTTGCCATCAAAAAAGTTTTAAAAATTTCAAGGATTGCTGAGTTTTTTTGAAAAAAAAAGGATTTTTTTGAAAATCAATTTTATTTTTTCCTGCTGTTGCTTTTTAGATTTTTTTTAGAAACCCTTTCGAACATGTAGAGCATTAGAAACTAATAGTTTGTAGGAGTTGATTTATTTATAATAACTATACGATTAATATTATGGATATTATTAGATTGTACACTGAGATTTCAAATTAAAAATAAAAAAAAGTTAAAAATAGGTAATATCTTTAAATTGCTGACCTGGATATTATTTATTTGAATCTTTAAATTGGGTTGATTTTCCTTATTCAATGTTAATTAGCGCTGATCAATATTGTTGCGACGAATATAATCAGATTAAATAATTTAAAAAACCAGAATCGGACGTGAATTATTTAAATAATAATTAAATAGTTTTGTTATTGTTAAGGTATCCAAAAGAAAAAAAGTGTCAAGTGTTGGCATATCATTGTACTCAGAAGACCGAGTTCTTTCAAAACTTGAAATAAAAAATGCAGGTCCGTATTTAAAAAATATAAGTTGGCCTCTATCTCACAAATTATCAGCTAATTTGAAAATATAAAAATACTGTCAGATAGTTCTAATAAAGTGGCTATGAGAATGTGCAATTAATTTTTTGATTTTCTAAAAAGTAACGACAGGAAAAAATAAAATTGATTTGCAAAAAAAAATCAGTTTTTTTCCAAAAAACTCAGCAATATCCAAAAGAAAAAAAGTATCAAGTGTTGGCATATCATTGTACTGAGGAGACCGAGTTCTTTCAAAACTTGAAATAAAAAATGCAGGTCCGTATTTAAAAAATATAAGTTGGCCTCTGTATCTCACAAATTATCAGCTAATTTGAAAATGTAAAAATACTCTCAGATAGTTCTAATAAAGTGGCTATGAGAATGTGCAATTAGTTTTTTGATTTTCTAAAAAGTAACGACAGGAAAAAATAAAATTGATTTGCAAAAAAAATCAGTTTTTTTCCAAAAAACTCAGCAATATCCGAAAGAAAAAAAGTATCAAGTGTTGGCATATCATTGTACTCAGGAGACCGAGTTCTTTCAAAACTTGAAATAAAAAATGCAGGTACGTATTTAAAAAATATAAGTTGGCCTCTGTATCTCACAAATTTTCAGCTAATTTGAAAATGTAAAAATACTCTCACATAGTTCTAATAAAGTGGCTATGAGAATGTGCAATTAGTTTTTTGATTTACTAAAAAGTAACGACAGGAAAAAATAAAATTGATTTGCAAAAAAAATCAGTTTTTTTCCAAAAAACTCAGCAATATCCAAAAGAAAAAAAGTATCAAGTGTTGGCATATCATTGTACTCAGGAGACCGAGTTCTTTCAAAACTTGAAATAAAAAATGCAGGTACGTATTTAAAAAATATAAGTTGGCCTCTGTATCTCACAAATTTTCAGCTAATTTGAAAATGTAAAAATACTCTCAGATAGTTGTAATAAAGTGGCTATGAGAATGTGCAATTAGCTTTTTGATTTTCTAAAAAGTAACGACAGGAAAAAATAAAATTGATTTGCAAAAAAAAATCAGTTTTTTTCCAAAAAACTCAGCAATATCCAAAAGAAAAAAAGTATCAAGTGTTGGCATATCATTGTACTGAGGAGACCGAGTTCTTTCAAAACTTGAAATAAAAAATGCAGGTCCGTATTGAAAAAATATAAGTTGGCCTCTGTATCTCACAAATTATCAGCTAATTTGAAAATGTAAAAATACTCTCAGATAGTTCTAATAAAGTGGCTATGGGAATGTGCAATTAGTTTTTTGATTTTCTAAAAAGTAACGACAGGAAGAAATAAAATTGATTTGCAAAAAAAATCAGTTTTTTTCCAAAAAACTCAGCAATCCTTGAAATTTTTAAAACTTTTTTGATGGCATCTTGATGAACATTCCAAGGATCAACTTTGCCCCAATTTAACCATCATCGTATCTATTACGGTTTCCGACCTAGCAATATTCGTACCTCGAATTTGTAGCACCCTGTATATCGTTTTAGATTGATGCCTTTGAATAATTAGCGTAATTTTAAAAGTTTTTGGTTCTTTAAATGTGATAATTTTTGTAAAGAAATCTAGGTTTAGTTCTACACTTACCTATACGATTATTGACTAACAAAATATCTGATACAGGATGTTCTAATATAAATTTTGCAATTCCAATCATTCCCCTGTTGCCTACTTTGCAGGAGGAAAAGTCTAGTATTTCCAAGTCATGTTTTAATAGAGCTTTAAGTATGATGATGGTTTTATCACAGTCGATATCTGAATTCGTTATTCTAAAAAGAATACATTTAAATTAAAATCTATAAAGTGTATCGGTCATTTTAAAATAAACACTTGTCCTAAATTGATACGAGGTAAGTTTTAACACAGATAACAGAGTATACTCGGTTATCTGTGTTAAGACACGTTTTGTCTTATCACAAAATTAACTTTTTTTCCATACATATCAACGCAGCGACCCTGTACGGCTGTATGTGCTTAGGGCTTACCTTAGTGTCTGTAATCGAATCCGCTCTAATCCTTTGGCAAATAACTTTATGTCTTGGTAGGTTGTAGTTAGTATTTTCCAAGAAAAACTCTCTTTGGCATATGTCTAATTCATTAAAAAGCGTAAATGGAACAGGAGAAATGGTTAGTAGAAAAAATAGTAGATCTTATGGTCTTCGTTATAATATACCGTATGATCGAAAAAAAACGGCGTCCAGTTCGTTTGACGCCATCGTCGTTTTTTTTGATCATACGGTATTATTATGTATCTAAACTACAATAATATACTATGCTCACCTGTTTGAAACATATCGACAGTTCTCGTAAATTCTGAAAGCCCGTTACGATGGCATTAAGAGGCAACTTATTTGGAGAATTCTCCGAACATAACATTTGATCGATACGAAGGATTTCTACGAACGAACCGCAGAGGTCACACAGGCTCTTCATCTGAAAAAATATGTATTATTTTATCGGTAAAAAGTCGATAGCTCTCAAGAATGTCGTCATTGGATTACCCATCAGTTGTCGACGTCATTATTTTTTTAATATTGGTTTGTTTTGGGATTACTTTATATTTACTCATACATACAAAATATCATTATTTTATTTATTTATGAAGAATAACGTACCATACAAGCCACTTATTTTATTTCATTATTAAATACACTATACAGTAAGTGGCTATGAACTGATTGAACTGACATCAAATGAAATAAACTAGGTATATCATGCACAACAAAACAATTCTTGCAGTACACACCCACCTTCTCTGGATCATAATTTTCTGGCTTCAAATTCTCCAAATATTCTTGAACGTGCATTTCAATATAACATTTCTTCCATGTTGATGTTTTTTCCTCTTTTCTTTCCTCTTCCACAGTTTTCAAACTAGATTTTCTTGAAGCTACCTTACTTGATGAACGCGATCTAGTAGATTTGCTGGCGGTTCTAACACTACTTTTTTCAATAGCGGAGACATCTTCTTCAATTGCTAATGAATAATAATAAATGTTTTTATCACATCCAATAATATTTGAGAAAACTCTTATTGAATATAATAATACTAAAGCAAATTCCGATAGTTTGTTCAATGAGCCATCAAGAAATGGTATAGTAATAGATTTTCAGATTTTAAGAAAAAAAAAATAAAGGTGAGTTTCATTAAAAATGCATATGACTAAAATGTAATGTTTTTGACATATTTAACGTTTTCTAAAAACGAAGAACAAATTCTAAATTTAAATAAAATCTACCTAAATTGTAATTTACCTTGTATAATATATTATTTAAACTAAATTAAAACTTCACCTGAAAAGTTCTACAAGGTGAGACGAAATAGATATTGAACCTTTGTCACTCTTGAAAGCAAGTTATTCTTAGTTAGCTACTGTTTGATTTTAAATGGAACACCCAGTATATTATTTCGATATTCAATGAAGAATTCATGTCTCATCAAAAGAGTTTGAGATTGTATTGTATTATGAATAACGTTACTTCAACATAGCTGTTTAATTTTAGTTATCATTTGGTAATTGTCCACACCAAAACAAAAACATAAAAAAAGAAAAAAAAACAGATTAGATAAATCTATAGCTAAAATGATTACCTATTAATAAAACATAAAATAAATCTCAATCTTACACAATTCTTTTTGAAGAAATTCTTGATTGATTTGGTTAATTCCATTTTTGACGAAGTGATGTAGAGGAAGATCTGACTGAATTTTTGGACGTTTCTTAGGCCAGCGTTTGAGGTAACATTTTTTCCAGTAAACTTCGTCAGCAATTCTGGGTATGGTCAATTCAAGAGGCAGGTTTTCGGGTAAGAGATCGAGAAGTAGATATCGGTCTTCCAGTAAAACTATTTCATCCAATATCGGATTATCTAAAAAGGATGAAACATCTCGTTTAATCTAACTAAAACACTTTACTTTGAACGTTAATAGCAATGTTCAATTTAAATTATTTTGGTTGACGTTCTATGTAAAACTGGCTAGGTCTTTTTACACGAATGAAGAAGGAAATTAAAGATAAAGGATTATACTGTATCCGTATTGTAGCACATTTTTAGACAACTTCTTTATATTTAAGATTTTGATGGTCAAACATCAACAAAATATTCTTTATGTTTGGACTAAATTTTCTTTAAAATAAAGACATTATTTAAAATTCTGTTACAATACGGAAATAGATTGAAGTTTTGTGATTACAGTGATATATAATTTATATGATTTTGTAACAAATTGCTCGCTATTTTATGGCAAATGCTGAAGCTCTGCAAACCTTAATCAAGCCAATTTTGGATATGACTTAACACGACAGGATCGGGCTAAGCCTTAGACAGATTTCTGAAATATAATATATATTTCCTTCGGCCACACACCCGCTTTACCGGACCCCTGATAGCGACCCGAACAGTACAGCGTAATAGACTCTAAACATGACTTTTAAGTTAGTAATTATTATTATTCCTTGTACGTCTAACTTACCCAAGTAGCATTTTCACGACTTGCGACCACATGTTTACTAAACACAACGTTGGATTAGTTACAAAAAATAGTTAGCTCCCTACCTTGAGTATTAAAATAAATTTAAACGTTTTTATAACGTTGTGCCGACGTTGGACTAGTACTACAGCAAAGTAGAAGTTTCTGCGACGTCGAATGAACGTTGTCTTGTAACCTTTTTTGCTTAAGTGATCTTTAGGTGATTCGGACAACGTAGTTACAACGTTGGACAATATAGAGTTTTCCGACGTCAGTTTCAGGACCTATTCCAACGTTATGCAAACGTCGTCTGTTTTACTAATTCCAACGTTGTTTAGATTTCCTTATTCTTACGTTGGTAGGACGTAGAGTCACTACCTTTTTGCAACTGTATTGAACCATAACCTTAAATCTTAAATTTTCAATTCATTGTTCTGTTCAGTCAGACAGTTCAGTGCTGTTTTTGTTTTTATAAAAAAAAAACTTAATTAAAATGGGACATAAGAAAGGTACATATAAAACTAAATTTAAATATACATCGACATATATTACCGACACTTCCTCGTTTATTTAGATTATAGAGGGCGGCACAAGCTAGACTCTAGAATGACTAAATTAGGCAATCTTGCGACTAGTATACTACCTGTTAAGGCCGAACTGCGACTTTATTAGTCCAGTATGCGACTACTCGAACTACTCCATCTTAATCTCCAAAACAACAAAGTTAAAGCCGCCATGTTGTTAAATAAGAAAATGTTTCGTTCTTAAAATAGCAATTCCTGCTTTTTGAATACATTAACTTGAAATATTTGACCCTAAAAAATACGCGGAAACAATTTTTTCGAATGCGAATAAATTATTCTCATTTTACTAAAAAAAAAATTCAAGAAAATTTTTAAAACTTCTTTAATTTCAAGGCCCATTAGTATTTTTTAAAGTAGAAACAATACATTTATCAATAAAGTTGTTTGCGTTTAACTTTTTACCTTGGGTAACGAGTTACAGAGTCGGTTAAAGTGTTTCAATAATTATGATCTTCAAACATCCTCCACACTTAAATACTTTTGTTTTGTTTTCCTTCACTGCCATCTGACATATGTCTCTAACTAAATTATAAATATAATATTTTTACTATAATTATCCCAATTTAGGATAAAACGCGACTTAGACGCCATATTAGTTTTGTATTTCTGTGAATTAGGATTTTAAACAACGTTGCAGTTTGTACTAAATTAGGCTTCTAGCCAACGTCGGTATCCAACATCGTTTCGACCCAAAAATTATTCTCCAAACTAGTGCAGACTAGGGTTGGCACGAGGTTGTGTCGACGTTGCGCCCCGACGTTTGGTCGCGTGACACAACGTTGTCCCGACGTCCAAATGCTGCTTGGGTAAGCTTCATATAAATATCAAGTACCGGATCGGCAAATAAGAATAGACGGCAAGTTATCTCAGATAAAACTTATGATATAACTTTGGGAAAAAAAAGTAACCCGGTCAAGAGAAGTCACTGGAAACTATTTTTAAGTTTGAAAAATTCCGCTAGGGGACGGATCTAATAAGGACAATCAGACATCTTTCTTCTTTTTCTTCTTAAGGTGCGTTCAGATTCCTGCGTGGGCGTTCATCTTTTTCTTCCTCATCAGATGGTTCAATTTATTGCAGCGACATGGAGTGCTTGGAAGTCCTGTATGCCTGTCCAATAAAAAGCAAATAATCTAGCTAGGAAAGGAGCGAACACTCCACTAACTGGACCAGAACCGTTCTGCTTTCCAAGTGGTAACCAACTCAAGGCGGAACTCAAGAACTTGGAAGATTCCATCCGCAACCTGGAATGGAAATCTTGCAATGGTCTAAGACACTCGAAGAAGTTTCGGAGGGCTTATGATCAAGAAAAATCACAGATCTTCCTGGGTCTGAGTAAGAAAAATCTTGGGATTGTCACGGGGTTTTTAACAGGACACTGTCTCCTCAATGAACACCTCAGTAGATTGAAACTAAGAAGAAACGGCGAATGCAGATTCTGTGGGGAAGATGGGGAAACACCAGTACACCTCATCACTGAGTGCGCCGAGACGACAACCATTCGTGCCATGAATTTTTGTACGACTGATATTGGAGATGGAGAACTACCCTCTATAAAACCGTCCCAGATACTAGCTTTTGTCAAAGCCCTGGGACTGTATGATGAGTTATGATTCAAGAAAGGGGGACACAATGGATCTGTAAGGTCGAAGTGATTAACCCCCCTCCCACTCATTCTAAATTCTAAAAAAAAAAAAATGCCTGTCCAATGACGAATCTTTCTCAGCCAATATAGCTTCCTTCGACCTATTCCCCTTTTTCCCGCCGCGATTTTGCTCTGGAGAATTAGACGCTGAAAGTGATAGCATCTCCTCGTAGTATGTGTCCCAAATAGACTATTTTCTTCGTGATGATTTCGAAGAGTTCACGTTCTTCTAGATCAGCTCTTCTGAGAATGTCTCCATTCCTTACACGGTCGACCCAGGACACTCTTAGCATTCGTCGTAGGGTCCACATTTCGAAGGCTTCAATTCTGTTTATTGTTGCTACCTTTAGTTGTCCATGCTTCCACACCATATAACAAAACGGGCCAGAGATAGCACTTCACCATTCTGTATCTAAGGTTTCTTAATATAAAAATCCTTCTTAATAATCCACTATTTAATGTTTTTTCAATATATTTTGCATGGTATAGCTGTAGGACGCTGTTTAACATCATAACAATTATGTACGTTTGCATAAAAATTTTACATGGTATGCTATGTCTTTTTTGCATTGTTAAATAGAGCAAAAACTTTCGTAAAAGTTTGTAGTTCTTGTTCATATTATTTCGATCCAAACTATGACCGGACTTACAAAACATTCTTTAGAACGTACTACATCCTACTAAATTATTTGCTTACCTATCCAGTTTTTAGCAATAGTTTCGACGCATATTTCTTGAAGAGTATTTGGAATCGGTAGGTGCCATTTCTCAAACTCATACGCTTTTATAACTTTGGCATCTAACTGTTTAAATAACTTGGTATTAATATCGTATACTTTTAAACAATTTTTGTTTATACAAGTTGGAACCCTCATGTTGGAAAAAGAATACTGATTAAATATTTTCCCCTTTAGAGTGGTGAGTATCGATTAAACATTTGATGTTTATATACCGAAAGGGCTAATCGATTGGAACTATAGGGTTGCCACCTTTTTGCAAAGTAAAAAAAGGACATTGGATTATGAAAAATGACCGGTGGGGGGGGGGGGGGATAAGTTGTTGATTGCGAACCGCCGATTATAAATCACTACTCCAATTTTGAAAATTTCTTTTTAAGATCAAAATGGTTAAAAATAAAGCCTAAACTATCATTTCAGATTAACCAGGGAGTTCTAAATAATGTGTTGCTGATTCTAAACAATAGTATATTGTTTTTTTATGAATAAAAATGTGTGGCGAGGCTGTAAGTAACACACAAGTAAGGCACAAAAAGTAATTTTTACGCCGAATAGAACATTCTATCTTTTTAAACGTTCACAAATAATTTTTTAAACAATTTCAATTATATTATATAAATATCTTCATATGTAGAACGTAGAATGAGTAAGAGGGGAAGGATTAACCACCGCGATCTATTGGGTCCCTATCTATCTATATATTGGGTCCCTATATGGATCTATTTTTTCCTGTAATTATTTAATATAATTCTGTATAAACGTGCCAAGGGTGTAAATCAAAATTTGGTAAATGCAGTATTTTTGAAAATCCAATATTGAAACAAATTGTGATAGAAAAACTATAATAATTATATTGTAAAGTAGTAGTATCACTTACTGTTTCACCGGAAATGACTACAACTTTTGATTTTTAAATGGTACCCTAGGTATTTTTTACTTTATTTAATAGAAAATAACATTCTGAATAGAATGGCATATCATATACCAACTTTTGACATTTTCGCATATGGTTTATTTGAAATTATAACTTGCGGTTCGTAACGAAAATTTGACTCGAAATACCAAGTGTGTGGTATTAAATTATTCGTAAAAATTGCTTTTTCCAAATATGCTAATGAGCCACCCTCGTTCCATTTGAAAAAATTGAGATATGATTAAAAGTAGGATTTGAGCATTTTTTAACTGGCCAGGATAAGATACGAAAAGGATTAGACGATCAAATTTATTTTTCCAAGGCTCCTTGATTAAGAATTAGTGTTTTTAACATAGTCATGGCACTCTAGATTGAATTTTAAAATACCATTTTTTATTAAGCGAGAATGTCATTTTATTCAGAATTTCATTTTCTATCGAATAAAGTAAAAAAAAAATCCGAGGGTGCCATTTAAAAATCAAAAGTTGTAGTCATTTCCGGTGAAACAGGAAGTGGCCAAAAACAATTGAATACGTCAATCAATTCTAATTTATGTCATATACTAACATATCAAATCTCGTTTTTTTATCTGAAAAAATAGAAAAGTTATAGGGGTGAGCCCCAAAACACCCTGTATATTTCAATATACACTACGAGTATTTTATAAAAAATTGTAGTAAAATCTCAAACTGTTTATCTGTTGAATCTAATTATCAAAAAATGGCGAATAAATTTATCGGTTGTTATTTTTTAATTTCCATAGCTTTTATTTCTCACGTTTGATGTATTAGAAGAAAACCTGTAAAGCAATTTATCATTGAGTAAAAAAACTATTCATAAGACACTAATCTTCACGATACCGATAAATTAGATTTGATTTATTTAAAAAGCCGTGGGCTTCAGAACCTCTATGTCTTCGGTAATTAACGGTACTCGTGTACATGTAATAAAGCATGTATTATACAATAGTCAGTGACTACTCGTGAATCTGTAAAATCTAATAAATAACTGTAAATATTGTGAGCTCATAATACTACATTAGAATTTTTAGAATTTAGCATGAGTGGGAGGGGGGTTAATGACTGCGACCTTGCAGATCTGTACTGACAGAATAGATCTATTGTGTCCCCCTTTCTTGAGTTATAACTCATCATACAGTCCCAGAGCTGTGACAAAAGCCAGTATCTGGGACGGTTTTACAGAGGGTAGTTCTACATCTCCAATATCAGTCATACCAAAATTCATGACACGAATGATTGTCTTCTCGGTGCACTCAGTGATGAGGTGTTCTGGTGTTTCCCCATTTTCTCCACAGAATCTGCATTCGCCGTTTCTTCTTAGTTTCAATCTACTGAGGCGTTCATTGAGGAGACAGTCCTGTTAAAAACCCCGTGACAATCCGAAGATAGTTTTTACTTAACTCCAGGAAGATCTTTGATGTCGCGTCACTAAAACTATCCGTCTTAACAACACGTCTCCTTGGAAATAAAAGCCGTATTTATTTACATATATACAACCTTTATTAAATACTGAGCTTACTTGCAACTAATAATAAACAAAATCCACGAATAAATGATTAATTAAAAGAAGTATATAATGGAATAGCGTAAATTTGACAAAACCCGGTACGACTCGGCCTTCCGCTTTCCTTTAAAATCTATACGACACTAAAGATTAAAATCCCAAATATTCAGTTTTCTAAAAAATTAGGCACATGTTTTTAACTCAATACCTACTTCAAAAGCCACTTGAACTACGTCCTCGAAGGAACCCTTGTCTTCGGTCATAAATTAATAGACAAGAGTTCACAAGACCAAACGTCACCAACAGTAAATCCATAAACTTTCACTTTTGAATAGGATCGAGAAAAACATATGCATCTAAAACTGAAATTACCTTTGTTCTAAAAAATGTAACAGAAATTGCTCCAGAAATATGTAACAGAAATATAACAAATGTAACAGAAATATATACTGGCTCTGACATTTGATTTTTCTTGGTCGTAAGCAATCAAAAACTTCTTCGAGTGTCTTAGACCGTTGCAAGACTCCCATTCCAGGTTGGGGATGGAGTCTTCCAAGTTCTTGAGTTCCGCCTTTAGCTGGTTACCACTTGGGAAGCAGAACGGTTAGGGTCCAGTTAGTGGGAGTGTTCGCTCCTTTTCTAGCAAGATCATTTGCTTTTTCATTGCCTTCTATCCCTTGGTGAGCAGGCACCCAGAGGAGGAGGACTTTGGTTTCTTTCCCTAATTTTTTCAGCTTCTCTATGCATTCTTTGACGAATTTCGAATTGATTGGTACTGAGTTGATCGCTTTTAACGCTGCTTGACTATCAGATAAGATGGCTATTTCTTGTTTCCGATAGTTCCTATCTAAGATAAGTGGTACGCATCTTTCGATAGCGTAAATTGCTGCCTGTAGGATGCTAGGGTAAGTGCCCATTGGTTCGGAGTAGTTCTCGGCCTAAATATTCCGATCCTTGTTCCCGCATTGGTTTTTGAAGCATCAGTATACCAACTTATGGTATGGTCTTTTAACTTCTGAGCAGACGTTTCTCTTCCAATCCTTTTTATTGCTTAATACTACATAGTTGTACATTCTTGGCATATCATCGTTGCAGGAGTGGTATGACAATTCTCCCAGTACTGATTCCGTTAGTGACCATTCTAATCATTGTCGCATTGGCATATCTACAGATGACAATGTGCAGTGGTGTTAGATCTAGAATGACCTTCATTGCTGCTTTTGGACAGGTTCTCATGGCTCCTGTGATGCAAACGCATGCCAGTCTCTGGACTTTGCACAGGTTTAGCCTTGCCGTCCGATGCTCTAATTTTGTATACCAGGCAACTGCTCCATAAGTAATCATGGGTCTTACTATCATGGGCAAAATCTCATCCAGCGCAAAATGTTAGAGGAGCAGCCTCATCTATTTCCGGCCAGTCTTCTGCATATCATGAGAGCTTTTGTGGCTTTGCTGGTAATGTTTTTAATATGCCTGTTCCATAGGAGTTTACTGTCCAGAGTTGTTCCCAGATATTTAACTTCCTGTGATGGCAGTATTATCTTTCCCTCTAGTTGGATTCTTTTCAAGTTTTTCAGACTTCGCTTTCTGGTGAATGGCACTATCGCCATAACTACATAGGGTGTATCCTAAATAATTACAAGTATTTTTAAGGATGGTAGGAAAAAGCCTTCTTATCCGATAGTCAAGCAGCACTAAACCCAGCTAGTTGTTGAAAATGATTAATCAATAGATCAATAATTGCTGAATGAGATAAAATTACATTTTGAATAGAATGTCAGTAGCTAGAGGGTGGAGTACCCCAGGTGAGTTTTAGTATTATATTAATTATTTTATCCAGATCAGTAAATGTTTGTTTTGTTATTTTCATGTATATCGAAAGTCTGCTTGCCTGTGACCAACTAAATGGAAACTTGAGATGAATTTCCATTGTGCACTGGCTGAGTAAGCTCCAGAAATATTCACTTTTACATTACTTTATAATTCTAATCAAAATTTATTCGAAAATTGATCTTTTTAATTAATATATTTATTAACTGTTATTGTACATTTTCAGTTTCCTTGCTATAAACTCGTCTAGGCGCCGCTACTGATGGCATTCACTTCATGGCGGTACTGGACGAGGCGTGATATTTAAATCAGATATCGTACTTAGGTACGTTTGGGAATTCCGGACCGGCAAAACATTAAATATAAATCAAAAAATTACAACGTTTATTAAATAGATATGTTGGCCTTTTACATTATCGTATTAGTCATACGATCTTCGACGGCGTTTAATAAAGTAAATATTGTCTTGTCTTGGTCTGTTATGAAGAAAATTGATTTTGTTTTATTGTTAGACTTTTATAAAGTACAGTACGAAGAAATTATAACAACAGTCGTTATAAGTTCTTCGTACTGTATTATTTTAAATTTAACCAAGATTAAGTCTCACATTGGAGACACTACACACCGAAGCCACAAGGACTTATATACATTGTGGCTCACTTATACAAAATTTAATTGCACTCTTAAAAACCAACCTTTTAATAGAGTTGATTTTATTCAAGAATATGTCACCAAGGACCAGTCTGGTTTTACTGTAAAATTGAAACCTGGTCCTGTTTTCAGCGGGACAAGAATCCAAGCAGTCGATTCGACATAATATTGTTGCGGACTCAGCTCTTGGACTAAAATGCCCCGCCCTCATTCCAGAACC